TGGATTACGAACGGAAGCATCCCAGATTTACCGACTCCAACAATATGTCTACGATTCCTGAGCAGTCACGTTGTGACTGTCCTTAACCATTTGTGCACTCTTCCTTTATATTCCCATACGCAACTATGGCACAAGGCAGAAGAGTGTTGTACACAAGGTCGCAGAGCTGTCAGTCATCGATTTACGACGTTAGAGTCTGGAAGCGGGAAGACACGATCAAACACATCTAAATGCATTTGAAATAATATCGTATCCAACAATCTGACCACAGTGTGGACCTAGTTGAGGGTACCCCTACAGCCAAAGAAAATATCAGGTCTCAATCTTACCTTCAGTTCAATTCCAAGCATAGGCAGTCACCAATCTGTAAAGATAAGAAAAAGAAAATAAGTATTAATTCTGTGTGACTATGATTTAAATGCAAATTAAAGCAAAGAGAGTATATATTTATTTTTGTAAATTAATTTCTTTCTTTTAATTAAATTCCGTTAAAATTTCAAAATATTTCACTTTATTCGTCACATTAAAGTATTATATTTCCAGTAACTTATTCGTTGATTCACAATAATTTTTAAATTCCATTGCTTATTATTTTCGTTCATTTCTACGACACTTTTATATTTTATTTTCTTTAAAATCTTGTAGAAAAATTTTTTTATAGCACTGAAATTTTTTGTTTCGCTTTTTGTTATTAGAAATAAACACAATAACTGCACTTTTTTTTTTTGTATCAAAATTCAGAATATTTCACATAATTTTTCACTTAAAATTTAGAGAAGTCAAATTTTACTTTTTAAAAAAAAAAAAATTTTTCTTATAAATTCACAGTAGTATTTCAATTTCATTCACTTTAATTTTTTTTCATTAATTTTTTTTAGATATTGATTTGCACAGTTTCTAACTAGTAAAATCACTTTTTATGCCTTAATTATTTTTTTTAATCATGCAACTTTTTCATTATTTATTTCAATTAAATTCTTTGCACTTTCGTCATTAAAAAAATAAACACAATATTTTCACAAAAAAAATTTACGTCCGTCCGATCAATTCTAAATTTCTCACTATTTTTCACTAAATTTTTATTCATCTCCTTTAATATTTTCTGTGTTTCCAATAGTAATCATTCATCAGTTTTTTTTTGCACTTTATCTCTTTGGTCCACAACATTGTTAATTTTTGCATTTTGTTTTGCTTTCACCATTTCAATTTTTCTTTTCTTTTGGAGATATTATCTATTTTAATTTTATTCGCACTGTTCACTCATTCCTTAATTCTGTTTTCTTTATCTGTTCTATTTTTATTCACTACTCACTAACTTCGAATTATAATTCGAACTTATTGTTTCCGCCAAAGTCACATTTTTTCTTAATGGGTGCATTTCATTGTAAATGCAAATGCAACTTTTATTCACACACACACACATACACTTGATGGAAATCATTGATTTTTTTTTGTTAGAAAATTAAATTAATTTCAGGAAATTAATTTAAATTGTTTCAGTAAAATCACTTTATTATTATTTTTCCTTTTATTCCTTTAATCTTCTTTATTAATTGCTAAGATGTATACGGATTAATTTTTCATGCAATTATTTGCAAGTTACTATTCGCACATACACCCGCACTGTATGTTTATGATAGTAACTTTCATTCATTTTTTTTGGCACTTTATTCACTTTTCACTTTAATTATACACGTTATTTTCACTCACCCGGCATTTACATTTATTTTATTATAATTAATTTATAATACACTATAATTTTTTTTTCACTCTACTTACCCAAATTTTATCATTTCTGCAGCTCCAAAATTTTCCGTCCGTCCGTGCTCCAATCCGCCAAAAAAAATTACAATGGACGCGTACTCCGATTGTTTTCATTCATAAACGTCACTACTATCGATAGTCACTACTATCGGTAGTCAACTTACATCAGACTAAACGATAACGCGTGGCGCACGACGTAAACATTATACCATGTTCCTACGGGCTAATGGAGCTTAATATTGTAATAAATAAATTAGACCAAAATTTAATTTTATTTTGGAAAATCAGAGTTAGGGATGCCAGACTGCGATTATTAGGGATGCCAAACACCGATTTTTTGTAAATACCCTATCAAACCATTGATTTTTTTTTTGCATTTTTAAACCAAAGGTCGCACTTTTTTTCCCCCTATCCTTCGATAAGGATATCAGCAGGATAGTTGGCTTTGTGGTGTGCGCCTTTAAAAGGGGTAACCCTGAAAATAATTGATAGCTAGAAGAAGAAGAAGAACAATTACTAGGAAACAGCTGATTATTCCAATTACTTAAATGTCAATATTAGGGAATAATATAAAAAGAAAATGGAAAAATTAAGCGAGGAAAATGGCAGCCAGAATTTCCTGGCAAAAATTGTAAGAAAAATCTGTCCTTTTTGATTTACCTGCGAAGAAGATTGGATGTGTGGCTCCCTGTAACCAGCGAAGAAAAAAGTCGACAAAGTTTTTGGTGATGAACCACTTGTTAAGAAGTGAATTCAATGTTTTTATTTGTTTGAAACATATATACAAACAACACGAAATACAAACTTTTTTTTTACAAAATTGGAAGCCTTAAAATAATTAAGCAAAAGTTAACGACAAAAGGCGAAAAGTTGAAATAAAACTTAAAACAAAACGAATAATTTTCACAAAAATTGAAAATTAAAAGACAAATTGAACTTACTTAAATTTAAAACAAAATTTCGAAACAATTTAACAAAATTGAAAAGAAAAACCACAACAATTAACTAAAAATCTAAACCAAGAAAATAAATCTTAAACCTAGAAATTCCTGAAGAATTGGAGCCTACAAGCCACACCATCGCCCATCCAATCCACCGAGGGAGGCGCAGAGTTTACGCCATTGCTGCTCCAGCGTGGCTTGGTATCATTCCCAATTGACACTGCAACTTATTTAACTCCGGACAGACAGACGGACGACTAAGCTACATAATTAAATTCCGCGGTTTTTCCTGGAAAGAATAAATAAATTAAAAGGGTGAACAAACGAGTTAATATTAAATTTTTTTCTTACGTTGTGTTGGTATGCAGGTACGCGACATTGAACTGAGCTCAATTCAAGGTTAGGTTACCAGGCATTGTTTAGATCGTCGATTTAATGTGGTATCGACCTACATTCCTTTGTTCGTCCTCATCTGGAATTGAAAGCAAGAAAATTATTATTTACATTCTGACCGAGGAATATAATTAAAAAGCTGAAACACGAACTAATTCGTACATACTTACGTTTTGGGAAAAAGCCTTAGTCACAAGCTGCCGTCAAGGTTCTACGCTCTGGGTGCCCGCCGTTAAGCCCTAAAAGTACAAAAAGAAAAGATTACTTTCGAAAATTGATTTTTATTGGCAATTCTTTGTTTTTTTTCTGCAATTTTTATATTATAATTCGCTGTAAATTGTTAGATTTTGATTCAAATTACGATGGAATGAATTGTTTTTTTTTTTGCCAAATATGTAATATAGTTTTAATAAATATGTACTGGATTAAACCTGAAAAGATCAAAATGTCTTCGGCTTAAAGCCCTATTAAAAAGGTGGTGGGGATGGGATAAAATATGGTAAGTCAAGGGTCAGATCTGGGACGTCCAGTATGAGTAGACGTCATGGCGAGAGGTGTTCTCGGAGGGAGGGCTATCTCCTGGCTGGTCAGCCGCCAGGAGCACTGTTTCTGTGAGGAAAACTAATATTATTTTGGGATTTGGTTGTAGTTAGGCAAACGTTTTCTTTTTTTACTTTTTTTGTTGACATGTTTCAGGCTTCTTTTTACCCCCTTTTTAATTTAGTTTGAAGTCCGGTATGATTTTTTTGTTTTGTTCAACCGAAAAGATCTGCAAGTGGCAAGAACCAACCCCCAATCCGACGAGCCATAGCCGCGCTAAACGCCAGCATACCGGCAACGCCACTTAATGGTCAACACAGCGATTTCATTTCGTTTTTCTAGAACACGGTTGTTACAGAGGAGAATTAATGCCACGAAACTCGTTCGACGTGAGTGAAGGAACACCCTCAACGTTCAACGACGAAACGTTTTTCTTTTCTTTTAGACAGGTTAAAGAAATGTCTAGCCCTACCTAATCGAGCTCCATTAGGCAGAATACCTTAGAGTAGTAAAAAATAGCCCCAGTTGGCCGAATACTTAGTGTGAAGATTGTTGTCGTCCCGAATATTGACTCACATTCCTCGTGTTGTTTGGTGTTAATAATCCATTAAGAGACCATGATAAAAGCAATGTTAATAAATGTATATGTTTGAATGTTAAGATTAATTATCATGTCTTTCTAACTTGAGTGTGAGAGAGGGAAGGAAGGGCGTGTTATAGGGTGAAATAGTGTGTGTGGAAAATGGGGCCCTTGAAACAAATGAGAAAGGATACGAAGGGTCAAGGTTGGGTGGGCAGAGTGGAGGAGTCATAACCACCAAGCTCCTTTGCCATGAGTGTGTGTCGTGTTTGTGATCGTGTTGTTTTATTTGTGTTTTTCCCCCTTTACATTGATTGTTAGTCCCCTAGGCCTGAAGGTGAAAGGGTTGAGAACCCCCTGAGAGTTGCACTCCTGAGCTAGATGGAACCCCACCTGAAGCACCACTGTAGGCGGTACATAACAAAGTTTAAAAATGTAAATTTAATTGTGTATTTGTCATTAAGACAACATTTTTATTACTTAAAAGTATTTTGAGAGTATTTTAAAGTCATAAGTTTCCATAAAAATACAATTTCACGTGCAAAAACCAAAATTAGTTTCAAATCGAAAAAATATTGTTATTTACTTTTTCTGAAGATGCTAAATACGAGAGTAAAATCATTTTCCTGCCGAATGCATTCTTGTGACATGCCTGTATATCTTTCATTCATAATTTTCAGTATTCCTGAAATGCCTTTGAAATGCCATAATTTATTTTTTCAATAAATGCTCTCATTTATTAGGATGGAATGGAACAAAGAACAAAAATATTTGTTCGCTCAGAATATTTTGTGTTGGGAATCAAGTAGATATTTCATAATTAATGGTCGAACAAAGAATAGAGAGCGAATCACGTGCAATGTGAACTTAGCATAAGTCGAACAATCGACTATGAATAGTCGAGTACTCGGTTTTTACCCAAGTCCATAGTCGAGTTTGATAGCATTTGGAAAAACGATAGTAGCAGCTAGTTCCGCGCTCTTTAGTGAAGATGTTCAATTTTCTCATGTCTCATTCGTAAACAACAGAGTACCCCGAGTCTTTGCTTTCTGTTTATTTTTTATCAAGTATTGCTTTTTGGCCTTTATATTCGCTTCGTTGGGACGTTTTTCATTTCATTTCATAAGTGCAAGGATGAGCTACCCTACGGGATACCTACAAATGGGAGCTACTTCACCAGATAATATTCCCCCGGTCAATAGTGAACTATACGGATATGGAAATGTTACATATCCTTCCGCTGAGGCCGGTTTTCAAAATCAGACTACAACAGAAAATAGTCCACATACCTACGGGGAGTACAAGACCTCCTTGAAGCGAAAATATTTGGATTCTTTCCGTGTGCCAAAAAAGCAAGAAACCGTTGTCGAACATGATGATAAGGGCAATCTGGTTATGTTTAGTGGGCGACATCCGTCATATCCAGATGAACTGAATGCGCTAATACATCCTTCTACATGTGACTTGTGTAACATGAAAATGAATTCGGTGAGTCCAGTTACGTTAAAAAATTTAATAACATCAAAATCTCCACTTTAAGATGAAGCTCCTATGTCAAAAAATATAAAAATTGAGTTATCGGGAACATTCCATTAACATCGTAATTTAACAACATGCAATAAGAGCGCCGGACTTGGACCGCCATTATATGTACACTTTTAATATGAAGTTATATAAACCAAGATATCGGGAAAATGATGCATGCAAATCAAAATCTCCAGTTTGATATAAAAATATAAAATATGTGTTATCTGGAACATTCCATTAACATTGTAATTTAGCAACGTACATACGAAAAGAGCGTTCTGAGATGGGGATCTAGGAATGTCTTCTATGGGCAGGTACAATTGTACTAAACGAATAACATTTCCTTTAAACTTTAGGTCCACTCTTAAGTTCTTTTTTCATTCCATTTGAAAGTGAGTGGTTTTCTATCGCAAAGATGAACCTCGTTTTTCTAGATACTAAAAAAATGTAGACCCATTTAAATTCCTCCCTAGAATTGCATTTTAGGTGTATGATGATTGTCCATAACTTCAGAGATATCATTGTTCGATATTACATTGTTAAGTTAATTTTACATTTTTAATTTCAATTTTACATGTGGGTATACAGTATGACGGATTAATATTTACTCATAGAGCTTTAATAATTACTTACAATTTTCATTCATGTTTTCAACTTTTTGTGTAAAAGTTGACATTTTGAACAAATTTTTCTATTTTTCAATTCTGCTGGAGAGACACTTGTAAAACATGTTTTCTGCTGATACAAACATTTTGAAAAACTTGCCTCTTTTGTTTGCGGGTTTTTTAGAAGATTTGAACTCGTGGCCAAAATGCGCACCTCGGGTGAGAGAGAATACAATATATACTTTCGTTTGAATGTACATATACCATTCAACATTGTAGTTTTCAGTATTTACTCATAGAGCTTTAATATAATATAAAAAATATTTATGTTTGTAGGTAATATCGGCAAAGGATCACTATGAATCGAAATCACACGATAGAAACATTACAAACTGGATTACAAGGGTAAGTAAAGTTCAAAGTTCACAAAAATATTTTGACTAATTACTAATTGGCCTGACGTTCAAGTCACATACTTACCCCGGTTTTCAATAACTCTGATTCCTAATTGTGTTAATGGGCTTTGGCTTAAAGAAATAATTTTAACTGACTTTAAGCCTACGATAGTTTCAGAAACAGAAATACTTGTTACAAATGTATGAAAATGTTTGCCATTAATATATATCTCATAATTTCAGAATTATACTGAAAAGGGCCTTAACCCTCCCGAGATAGTGCGTTATTATAAGCAAGGGCCCGTGGGACCAAATGCATTCCATTGTGACCTGTGTGATTTAAAGTTAACTTCGTTGACACATGCTCAACAACATTTTGCTGGCAGAAAACATCAATTGGTTCTAAGTCAACGATCGAAGCCTTCTGGCGCTGGTTATTACAATAATGAAGGAAAATGGGTTAGACTTTCCACAAAAGCTTTTCCAAAGAGTGCAGATCGACGATTCGGAATTGGCGAACAATTTCTTTACTCATCCAATGATAACGTCACAACAACCACTGCCAATGAATCTTCTAACTCCGTCATTAATTCACCAACACAAACGCCAGAAGAGAATGCTGCGGCCAAACCCCCAAAAATCCCTAAAATGAATGAGCATGATCCAAATCTCTTTTGTGCGGTATGTAATGTAAGTGCAACATCAGCATTACAGATGACAATGCATTTAACTGGAGCTAAACATCAGAAAAAACTAAAGGCTAGTGGCGTTGAAATCACCAATACTGGCCACGCTCCATCTTCTACTACTGCTGCTGACTCAAATCAAAATGCGGATAATCTTCTTAATTCCGTTATTAATGAACTGAAACCTGATACAACCGACTTGTCAATGTACCGCACTCCTAGTGGTCAATATTATTGTCAAACGTGTAATTTAACTATTACCAATCTAAGTAGTTTGCAAAAACATCTTGAAGGAAAGCGTCACCTCAAAGTTCAAATGGAACAAAGGGCATTAGCAGCAATATCCAAAGTAAAAACAAAATAAGCAAATGAATTTGTATACCAATATCATTATTGGTCTGTTCCAGAACTGCGAGAATGTAAAAGTTTTTACTACGATAGCCGATGTTTTCTTTATGATATCGAAGAAAATTGCAAAACTAGTAGATTCTTGTAGGTTCTGAAACAGAGCGTATGTGTTTTTGATAAACACAAAATAGTCTTATTAATTTATTATGAAATCCTTATATTTTATTAGAATAACTCTCTTGAACATTAAATAAAAAATGTTCCTTATACACACACACAAAATCATTTGAAATATATTTTACTTAAGAAGATAATCTAAAGGTAAGTGTGCAAAAACACACGAAGCACTAGGGAATCGACGAATGACATTAAAGAATACCTTTTTATAAAGGGACTAGACAAGTAGGTATTACTTGTGAGTGACGCATTTACATATATTAATATACAGAATTTGCACTGTTTTTGACTGAAGATGAAAACCAAAAACATATGATCTACAAAATAAAAAAACAGGAAAATGAAGACAAAACTTATCCAACTGCTTTTCACCTACCGATTCTAAATATAAATTGATAATTATATGGATATTAAATGTACTTTGCACTTTAAAAAATGTTTTATTAATGTGTTTAAAACAACATAGTACGGAATTGCGACATCTTCTAGTTTTCGAATGACAAGTACTTAAAAAAGTAACTTTTTTATATTTACTGGAAAAATTACATATTTTGGTTTTATGTTTTGAATAAATAAAACTAGTAAAAAGTTGTAAGTTTGGCCGGGCCGAACTTTGAATGCCCTCCACCATTTGGAACGAATTTGGCAATATTTAAAAAAAAAAAAATCCGTTAAAAATTCTGTTAAAATCTTAAAAAATGGTCTATACGACGTGAATCTGCACAGACAATTTTCTGTTGTAGTATCCATTACGAACTTCAAATATCAAATTTGAAGCACTTCCGGTGAGTAACGTCGCTAAAATCATCAAAATACCGAATAGCGGTGGTCAAAATATTCAATACCAAAAGTCCTGCAAACAAAATAACATTTGTGTAAAATTTTATCAATCTACTTCAATTCGTTCGAAAGCTAGAGTGACTTACACAGACCGGCGGACATCGCTAAATCGACATAGAATTTAATGCTGATTATGCTGTGGGGTATAAAATGTATATTTCGAGGTATTACAAACGGAATGAAAAACTTAATATTCCCTCCCTACTATGGAGGGTTATACTAACAATGTGTAACTCGATAATCATTTTCCTTGTTTGTTTGTCTGTAAGAAAGTTTATCTTTATACCCGACACCACATTGTGGTACAGAATATTGTGTATTTGTGCATTTGTTTGTAACATGCAAAGGGAAACGAGATAAACCCATAGTTCCCTTTGATGACCTTCATAGGATGATATTCTGAATAGCTTTATACATGTTCGTCTGTTCATATATTTTTGTAAGAAAAAATGCAGATCGCATTTACTGTGTGATGAAATTTTGCACACTGTGGTGAAATTTTACACAGTCCCTGGGCCAAACAACCAGGGACGAACGCTATTTAAATTGGTAATAGACTTAGATATAGCTCGATTTCAGGTTTATTGTACACCAAATGCATAATACGATTGAATTTAGCCTTTGTACGAAAACTTCATAGCAATTATATTTGGTTCGTGAGGTCACGTCAAGTTTAGTTGTAATCGATTAGGATATAGCTTTCATAGGTTAGTTTTAACCGATTTCTAATTTAAACCGCTCTAACGCATTTATATTCAATTTGTATTTAAATTGTCAATATCGTTTATTTGCTACAGGTGACTACTAAATATTCACAGTGAATAAAGTCGGCTCGACTTTTCTGCTTACTGGTTTGTTATATTTTATAGTGGTCTGAGCCAAAAATTCGGTTTTCATGATTCATATGGCCAATATACTGGAAAATATTTTAGTATATAATGGCTACATAAAAAGGTTTAAGTAACATCATAACTGTGTAAATAGTGACTGAAGCGACTTTTAACAACCACCTGTATCCGTATACCTATCTACATAAAACAAGGAAGCTTCCTACACACCTATTTTACAAATATATTTTGAAACAACTGTACTTCATCTTCTAATACATCACCGCAAAACTCGTTACTGGAGAATGAGTCATCGCACCGTGGCTGAAAGCTGGAAGAATAAAACCACCTTAAACAACTATGGTAATCTATGTCAAGGGTCAGATACTTTGACGACATAAAAAAACACAAATTTATTAAATTTATAATTTTTAATTAAAACATAACGTTTTGACAGAAAATAATAAATGGCATCATCATACGATCTTTATGGTAACATTATAAGCAGAGACATGCCTGTGATCTATACTAAATTCCTCTACCTTTAAACCACTGTGCGGTGACTCATTCTAAGTCATCAGTGTTAGATACGAGTACAGTTGCCTCAAAATACTTTTATATAACATTTTAAGGCAACTGTACTCGTAGCTAACTTCGACAACACAGACTGAGTCATTACACAGTGGTTCGGTTCAAGGCTCTTTACGTAGCTGATCGCCTATCTGTTAAAGAGTAATTTGCTAATTGTTAGGTATAATCTAATATTCCACATTACTATATTCTTTTTTGAAATAAAAATGCAGCCATTATTCAATTTCATACATTCGAAAACAATAGTTCCAATCAAAACTATGCAAGGATTTTAGGAAAAATTAAAATTTCAAATACGTGCTGATAAAAGCAATTACATTCATGAAGTTCCTCCTTAATATTTAATGAGCCAGAATAATACTAAATATTTCAAACTGAAATAAAACCTAGAACAACAGCTGAAGAAAACCGTTTTGCACACTAAATTTACCGGTCATAGAAGTTGAAATTCCATTGTATTAAAAAGTATTAGCCAAATATCCAGATCACTTCCTTTCGTTTTTTTTTTACTATAGCTTAAAAAGCTCTACTACAGCTCACATTTTTTGCATACGTAGGTAATTAAAAAAAACATGTATTTTTTTCTCGTCCATTTACATTTGGATCTAGCATTTATTAGTTGACTCATTTAAAATACCAAAACATTAAGTTCTATTAAATTTATTTTTGTTTATATTTTTTACAACTAAAAAAGGAAATCAATTGAAAAGGTATGTATATAACGCATTTTTCTTGTTGTAAGACAAAATTAAAGAATAAATCTGCGGGAAAGTTCAACGTGAATTTTAAATACAAAAATTATGACAAATAGATGATGAAGAATGTGATTCGACAAAAGTTGAATTCACTTTCAACAGTTCCATACATTGTTTCAATTGAAGCTGGCTGATTGATTGGATTTGGACATACTCGATCGACTTTTATATTTTTTAAATATATATTAAAATTATTACTTTTCATGAGTTTTTAATATTTATTAAGAGTAAAATTAGATTTGTTGTGTTTTGTATGTATAAAATTAATAGTAAATGTTGTAGCCACCCGTCTGTTGTTGATAAACTTCAATTGTATCGCCTTCTTCCATTTCCAAGGAGGTTGGTGTGTCGTTCTCGTTTATAGGTTGGCCATCAAAACGAAACCGAACCACTTGCATGGACAGACCCTGGAAATTGGACAAAACAATAGGGCATATATTAGAATGGGCATAAACTAAGGTTGGGTGTACATAATGTGAGACAACTTACCGCTCTGTCACAGTAGGCATTCATCAATTTTCTGAGTGGTGTATGTTTCTTAATTTTGAATTGTACCACAGCATTGTCCTGTCCCAAAACTTTAAGATTAATATGTTCGGTTTCTGATCCCTACAAATGAGAAAGAATAAATATTTAAGTTGCATTTTATATTTACATCCATTTAGACCCACTGTGCGCAAAATACGTTTAAGGCAAAGTGGGTACGTTTCGTTCAAATAACGCTACAGAGGCCCTAAACCATAACAATAATTATATTTCGACCCATACAAAACGTGTATACACACATATAAATATGGATATACAACGTTGTGGACAAAAATAATGCAAAAACAATGTTAACTGAAAGGCAAGAAGTAACGCTCCGAAGATTTGCAAGCCTCGTTTTCTAGCATTGACGCGGAAGTAGAGGGCAAAGAGTAGACACTGTGTGTAGGGTGTATAGTCAACGAAATCAAGAGATAGATGAACAAAAGCCACCAGAAAATGTTAGGTTATGTTTTATACGTATATTTGTCTTGCTAGAAATTACCGGAACCTTTAGTTCCAAGCACAACTGGCGTCCCAGTACATCATTGGGTACTGTTGGAGATATCTCTGAATTTGTTGAAATCACAACGAAACGTTCGGCATTTTTTTAACATACAGATGGTGGAAAAGCCGCATTGCGTCTCTGTTGCCGCGCCATGTTTGTCGGCGTCATACACACATTTTTCTTGTTCTTTTGTGCAGTTTTTTTCTTTTTCACTAGAAAACACTCGTTTTTGATTTGTTTCTCTGAACTATTTTGTTGCCTCAGTTGCACACATACCTTCTTTTCGTCAGACATTTTTATTTAATTTGTTTGTTTTTTTGGAATTTACAATGTAAAAATTAGTTTAACACTATTGAATTTTTGTAACTGAACAAATTTTTAAGTCTCCTCGCTTCTTGTTCGTTCAACACTTGCGGACAATCAAATACTGCTGCTGCCTTGCAAAAATTTTTCGTTAAGCAGAGCCGAAGAAAATGTATCAAGAAAAAAGCCGCCGCGACGCACCAGCCATCTTCTATCAACGCCAGCCATGTTCGTTAAAATACATCACTGCGTCGATGTTGCCACATATCCCTAATGTGATGTTATCGTTGTACAACATGTCGCATATCAAAATTATTTTTCTTTAGTACGCTGTCAATAATATTAATAAAATTACGAAAATAAATTTTTGATATTGGGGCTAAAATGTTAGATTACAAATTTTATACATATAAAAATAGGATAAGCTATTACGTATTTCAAATATATATGTACAGTTTGCACAGACGAGTACTCTAATTGTATAAATTCGCATTGCCTTGTTAGCTGACTTATCGTACAACAAAGTAAGATGACAGTAAATGCAAACCCAAACTATCATGGTAGAATTAAGAAGGGGAAAAATTATGTATTATTAATAATAATTGTTATAAAATTATTCATTTGACAACATCTCATTGTCAAAATTTTTATTTACAAATCCAAATCAGAAATTGGAACAGGTTTTCTATGCATTGAAATTTGAAAATGTAAGTTATAGAAAACGCAGAGATGGGCAGACTTATTTCAACATCTTCTTAATTTTACCATGCAAATTATATATCAAGAAGAATTACAGTTTTCTAAGCTGTATTTACTACTACTGTCACAACTGTTACTGTCAGAAACACAATCAAATAATAAAAACAATATTGTCGAAAAACAAAAGAACAAGTCATACAATAGAGTGGGGGAGCTGAAGATAAATAAAACTACATTATTTGATAATTTTACAATGGTTTTCGCAATTGTCGGATCGATTAAAGCTTTCCCTTTAGATTGTCCCTTGATTATATGTAAAATAATTTAGGGGTGGCTGTAAATCAAGTCTTACTTTACCGAACATATTTTAATAAAACGTGTTATTTATATAGTCAATTTCATAGGTTTCACGTCAAATAAACGACCAATCTTCGTAAAACTCGTAATTTATGTGCCGGTGTAAATAAGATTTATGTCACAAAAAATTTTTATGTACTTTCATGGTAGAAGAATATAGGTAGATACATCAAACATGTCAAAAATTTTAAAATGTTTTGTCAAAAATAAGTACATTATGGCCCGTTCTTTTATCTTCCCTTTACTTTACTACATCTTTCCTTTAAAATATATGCATTTCTTACAGAGATATGGCAAGCTTTTTGTAAAAGTAACTGGTAGTCACAGCATTGTTTTTTCACAATGACATCTTTATTTTAGGTTGAAAATAATAAACAAAACGAATTTGTAATTAATTTTGTGAAATAAATTTATAATTCAGTTCTTCAAAATAAAATAAATGATTTGCGTTTTCCATTTCTTTATTTAAATATATTTTGCTGTTATTGTCATATTATCAATGACAACATGAATTCAGTAAACTTTACGTTAATAGATAAAGGAAAGATGGTCTGGGACTGGTAATAACGAAAAACGATTTATGTGTCCGACATCATCACTTTTTTATCTATCGGAAGGATGTAATAACCGGCCTATGATATGTATTTTCCAACAATTTTTACAAATATCAATAATTTATCATTCACAAAATTTCAATTCCAAAATCGGTTTGACAGTTCATTGTCCCAACAGCTGTGTCGATGCGACTACATGTATTCTTCTACCATGGGTCTTTTGTAATCGAAGGGTAAGTATGTCAAAATAAAAACTAACAGCGTTACCTAAAATTCGACGTACTTGGATGACGTTTTCCCTCACACAAATTAAACACATATATTTATATGAAAGTTACCCAAATACGACAAGCGTACAAAATGTCAAAGCTGAACAGTTTCAACTTTGACAGTTAAACAATTTATTTTTTTCTGTTAAAAATCGATATGAGCAACGTGGATCGTAAAATAGAGATCATAAGGAGAGATCATTTCATGTTTTCATAGAACATGAGTTCAGCCCCTGATCATGTGGATGTAAATAACTAGGAATTGTTCCCTTCAATCATAGTGATACATTTACAAAAAAGTAAATAAATAAATAAGTAAAGGTGGGAATACATAAAGCGCTTATTTGGCTGACTTAAGTCATCGGCTAGCTTTTCGTAGAGGAACAAAAGAGTTTTAGGTTAACTTAGTTCGATTTTGTCCCTAGACTCTTTTGTTCATTTCCGAAGAAGCTGGCCGATGACTTAAGCCAGCCAAATAATCGCCTTATGTATGCCCGACTTCTTAGACAAAAATGTAATCAGCTGTAAGCTCTACTTTACCTTCGTATGCAGTGAAATTTGACAAGGTAAATTACAGAAAATGCAGAGATGGATGTGCTTATCTGAAATGACTTTACCTTCTTTATTTTATCATGGTTTTAAGCAAGTATTAATCCATAGCGGTGTTTGCATGGAAAAAAATGCATACATTTTCAAGCCTCTTATTTTTTAAATTTTTGGACCCACAATGGCATTAAGAAGGTAAAGTCATTCAAATTAGAAGAGATATAAATAAATTGTTTTATTTCAAAAAATCAAATTTTCTTTAATTTGTTTTTCAATTTGTTCTGTTCTTCGTTGTAAGCAAACGCTTTGCGAAAACAGCTGATATTTTTGGCAGTGCTTAACATGCGATGCTTTTTTAAATTAAAAACACAGTTGTATACCATTAGTATGTGGATTTCGCACCGGATTTAAGATAAATCCGGTCGTGAGGAGATCTAATTTGTATGTTAAATCTGGTTGAATAAATCCATATTAATAATAAATCCTGATAATTTGGGTTAATCCGGATAAAATTTTGTATCTAAACGCGCTAAAAATTACAAATTCATAGCTGAATGTTATTACTATTTGAAATGATATCAATTGTACCATGGTATTATCATGAGCAAGTACAATTTACATTTTTTTATTGTTCGAATGCAAAATTTAAACAACAACATCAATGCGGAAACATATGCGACTTTCGAGTGTTCCGCAATATCAAAGTCATAACCCAGCGATGCTTTCAGTAACTATGTAGATTCAACATCGGGTTTATTTTAAATGAAGTCAGAAGATCTGGGTTTTTATGGTAGTAGCATTGTAGAAGAATACAGGTAGATGCATCAACGCTTGGGAACATTGATATGTCAAAGTTTTTAAATTGTTTTGTCAAAAATAAGTAGATTTTTATATATTTTCTTATACGATGCAAATTGGAGGTTGTTGTAATATGCATATCTCAAAAATTTTTACAAATTTCAACAATTTTTCATTCAACATTTTCAATACCAAAATCGGTTTGACAGTTCATTGTCCCAGCAGCTGTGTCGAAGCGACTACCTGTATTCTTCTACCATGTATAGTAGTAGGTTTACATATGGCACAATGACGGAAGTTAGAACAAAGCTACCACCTAAATACAATTTTTTTCTTTTGGTGCCCTTATTCTGTCGATACATATACACATTTTGTGTATGTGTGTGTATAGTTTTCAATAAAAACTAAAATAATTTAAAATTTTATTTTCCGTTGCAAAATAAATGTATATTTTCGATGTTAATGGGTATCGCATTGTACAATATTGGGATAGAACTGTATTGTCCTACTATCTTGTGGAACAACCCCAAAATTTAATTATTGTTTCGCTGGTTTTTTCCCAATATAAGAATTTGGTTAAAAAATGAAAAGTAAACAAAACCAACTGCTGCATATTTAAAAGTCTATTTGACACTATAACACTTCAGCACAGAGTTGCATTTTTCTAGTTTCTTTGAAGTTGAGCAACCTTTCTTATTGAGCCATGAGTTTACATACATAATCTCTAACCGGATTAACCTGATAATTGACCAATCACAATATATATATAAAGTATGTTTTATATAGTCAGATTTATTGTGATTTGTCAACCAAATCTATATTCTTGATGATATGGATTGATCAGGATAAAATTTTCTAAGCGCGCTATCGGAGCCCATGCTATTGAAATAAGAGTAAACAACGTGTCATATCATATATATAGTATATATTTATCTTTATTTATTAAGATACATTTACATACATATGAAATTTAGGAAAATCGTATAAAAGAAAAAAATATATGTATATAACATATAAACACTTATAATTTTTGCGGATTTTTTTGTTAGATTTTTAGAGTAGATTATGGGTACTCAGATGTTAGGTTTTTGTTCTTTCATTCATTAGAGAGATTTATTTGAAATAATTGTTTGTGTTTTTCTCAACTGTTCTCTGCCCAGTTGTTGGGAAAAATATAAATTATGGTGATAAAATATATAGAGCTTTTTCTTTTCTTTTGTTTGTTGTTGGATTAGATTCTGAGATTTTCATTTGTTTGTTTGTTTTTTTTTTGTTTGTTTTAAATTGTCCTGTTAGTAACGCTATTACAACTATTTGACTGTTTAATATAATTATTATTTTTTGTAGTTAATTTCGTGTGTGTGTTTTGGTTTTTGTTTCTGTAATATTTTTGTTTTTGTTACAATATGGTAAGGTTATGTTTTACTTTTACTAATGAGCTTTTCGGGGGGTTTGAAATACTTTTGCTTTGCCAATTTTGTTTTCATTGATATTTTGTTTTGCTTTTGTATTATATAAGAGTATGCACTCATTATTAATAATATATTTTAGTTTTTTTGTTTTTACAAAATGTTTATAAGTAATCATGTACATATTGTAGCGCCTGTTGCGGTTGTGTTCTTTTGTTTTGGTTTTTGTTATTATTAATATATGTATAGTATAATTAAATTTTACTTTATCCTTAATACATATAAAATGTTTTTGGTTTGTAATCAACATAACAACTTTGCCCGTTATGAATAATAGATCCTTATACTTTGTTATCGCTTTTCGCATAATATTATTTATTAGGTTTTGATAGTTGATGGGTTATCTTTTTATTTATCCTAGTTTTTGTTTTATTAATTTCTTGCAATAGTAAGTTGATTAATATACTTTTTTCTTTACTTAGTTTTTCGGTATTTATATTAAAAATTTCTCTGGTGGGTCTAATCTGAGAGTTTGTGTAAGTTACTTATATCGATTCATTCTATTTTTCATTACAATTTTAATGGAAGTGTTTTTCTTTTTTTAAATTGGTATGATCGCATTAGGTCGTGTAATTCTATTGGCCATATTTTAAAACGATTTCATTTCACTAAGCGCTTTATAAATCAAGTTATTTTTTAAAATTATAAATATGTGTAAACCCTTTATTATTACATATCATTATTATATGAAATGATATTATGTTGAATTAATTATACAGTGTTTTAAAGTACGTTTACATACCACTCGTTATCCGGATTGATCTTAATGATTGGCCAATCACAATGAATTTGATAATTGAAAACACACAAAAAATTACTGTGATTGATCAACTGTCCGGCTAAAGATTTTATATATAAACGTGCTATAAACCATGGTACAATAAAAAGGTTTGGCAGAGCTACTAGCTGATTACAATTTTTTCTTAAGTGTGCCCGACTTCTGCCAATTCTATGTATTTGTTGTTTTGAAAAATATAAACAAAATATTTTAAAAATTTATTAACTAGATTTACCATGGAATTGAAAAATTGAACACTTAGAATCATATTTTTGAGAGAACGTCCAGGCATTTTATTCATCTTCGCGCTATTTGACTCGTTTTAGAAATGAACAAAAAATACCATATAAATGAAATCAACTTGTTGCCTATAATTTTGAATAAATCTGACAGGAAGCGGGCATAGCCTCAGGACTGTATTTCTGTAGTTTTACGAAGCCTTTCTACCTCCTTATTGTACCATGCTATAAACCATGGTACTAAAACTTACAAGTGTTGTGTTCCCGTATTTATTTTAATCTAGCTAAAGAGAGAATTATTAAACTCTTTCTTAGAGAACTGAACCGGAACAAAAAACAAGCAAAAATTGCAATTCTAGATGACAATCTCTAATAATCAATAATAGTCTCTATATTATCTTTTTCCTTACATTATTTTTGGCTATTTCTTATATTATCCTTTGGGTGGCGTCTATATCCTCCAACAGATGCATATAAACGCTTAATATTAACCCATTAGGGGCATATAACTGTTACGTACCTGGGAATGCCGAAAATAATAAATTATTTATTACTTTTCTGAAATATGCCACTCGTCATACGTAAATATTTCAGATATGAAAATAAATTTTATTTGAAAAAAATGACAATTTCGAGTACTTCAGAAAATGGTTGCCATATTAAGCAAATGAGTCTACCTCTTTATCATTTCGCTCCCTTACTTTACACAATAAAATTTTTCTTCAATTATATATACACATTTTTACATGGTAGAAAAATATAGGTAGACGCATCGACACAGCTGCTGGAATAATGAACTGTCAAACCAATTTTGGAATTGAAAATGTTGAATAAAAAAGTTATTAGATTTGTTTAATTTGTGGAAAAAAACATAAAAATCTACTTATATTTGAAAAAAAAAAAAAACATTAAAATTTTTTTTATATATCAATATTCCCAAGCGTTGATGCACCAACATTGCATCATTGCAATAAATTTGTCGCAGAATTAAAGAGGACTTTTTTGTATTGGAACTTATGCATTTATTTCACATATAATTGAAGGAAATGTCAATCTAATCACATAAACATCTTCGGGGTAAATAAGACTTAAAAGACAACTCTGATTCAAGGCAATTTGTTTTGTGTAAACGCCATATTAGAAATTTATAAATGTCGCACAGCTGTAACAGCTGTCGCCTTTTTTTGTAACTTTGGCAAAATACCCTGTATATACCACAGGTTCCCATCTCTGATTTGTGAATATACAAAGGATTTGTAAATAAACATTGTGACAAAGAAATTTTGTCAAATGAGATATTTTGAAAAAATTGTAAAATTGATTGCATGACTTTGCCTTTTTAATTCTACCATGGGGCAACAAAAAAGGAAAGTAGTGCTACCAATTGATTACATTTTTGTCTGAGTGCCCCGTTATTTAAAAAAAAAAATTTTAAATATTTCAACATGGTAGAATCGAGAAGGTAAAGTCATGCAAACACATGTTTAATTTTTTTTCAAAATTATTTGTTTGACAGCATCTTAGTCAAAATATATATTTATAGACCCATTGCAAATACAGAAATCAGAGATGGAAACCATAGTTTTTGTGCTGTCGAATTTGACAAGGTAAATTACAGAAAATGCGCAGATGGGTATGCTTACCTTCTTCATTTTATCATGGATTTCAAAATCAATGATTGCAAAAAAGTACCACAGTGGAATTAAGAAGGTAACGTTATTTGACAGCATTCCATTGTCAAAACTTCTTTTTTACAAATTCACTGCACATAAACCAATCAGAGATGGGAACCTGTTATGAATTAAGTTAAATTTGATAAGGTACATTACAAAAACTGCAGAGCTGGATATTATAATTTGAAATGAGATTACCTTGATCTGATTGCACCATGAAAAGTACATTGCCGAGCGTGCATTAATGATTATATTTTTAATAAAAAAAATTAAATGAAGGAGGAAAATTATAAAATAGATGTCATTAACTTGTAGCATCTCATTTTCCGTAATTCTGACAGGAAGCGGGCGTAGCCTCAGGGCTGTACTTTAGCAGTTTTAAGCTGGGAATACATAAAGCGCTTATTTGGCTGGCTTAAGTCATCGGCTGGCTTCTTCGGAAATGAACAAAGGAGTCTAGGGTCAAAATCGAACTAGGTCAACCTAAAACTCCTTTGTTCATCTACGAAGAAGCCAGCCGATGACTTAAGCCAGCCAAATATGCGCTTTATGTATTTCCAGCCTTACTCTTTTGCCACATTATTGTACCAAATAGAATTTGACATTGAAAAGAGACATCAAATGAAAAAGTGAAACACGATTGCACGAGTCTAACTATCTATCATGCGTTTACATTTATTTGATTTAATCTCACATATAATGTACCCAGTTGATTTCAATTGTCAATTACATCGCGTATACGACAAATATCATATATTCTCGTAATGCCAATGGAATTGACATTTGAAATACGCGTTTCACAATCAAAGAAATTGATTATCTAAATGATAAATCACGTCATTTAACAGTTCTTAAGATTTATAACTTGTTTTATATAGCGTTCTGTGTACTGCACACACCATTTGTTGTGATGTTATTTAACAAATTTAATTTTTCAATATTGTTTCGCATTTTCAATTTTGCAATACATTACCAATAACACGATCATTGCCAAGTTTATTTTAATGTATGATTCCGGGGAGGTTCAGCTATGAATGACTTTATTATTAAGCTTTCTATCATTCAGCGTTATGCTTTTAATGTCTCTACTTCTGGTAGATATTTACTTCTAAACATTTTTTTCTTTTGTTGGGTTTTACAATTTAAATTACACTGAGATTGATTTTTATAAAAAAGTTTCATTTGGTAAAAAAGTGTCATGTTTGTTTATTGTGTGTGTGTGTGTTTATTTTTGTTTTCAATTTCATATTCATAATTACATATATGAACTTTAAAAAATGTTTAAGCCAATTTTTGTCATTGTTATAAAAATAATTTGATTAATTTTTAATTTTGTTTTTTTTTGTTGTTTGTTTAATAAGTAGAAAAACATTTATCATAAGTATGAAAAATTCGTTATTAAAAGTTATTAAAATAAATACGATTTTTTGTTGTTGTTTTTCTCCATTCGGAAGTAATTTTTTGTGTTTTTTAATAGTTTTATGATTAGTTGTTTGGTTTTTTTATAAGCAGTATAAGGTATAAATATACAATGATCTCAATTTCTAAATATGTTCTATATACGTCTTTACTGTTATTGTGACATTTGTGTTTTGGTTTGTTTGCCATATTAATTATTTTTTATATAAAAATAATATATTTTCTTTTTTGCATTTATTTGAATTTTATTTCGAAGTAACACCGATTAAATGATTTAAAATCACATTTAGACTAGACAAAATTAAATGGAAATTTCGAAAGCGAATTTGAGTTGATTGCTTTTTCCGGTAAATATAAATACATACATATATATACAAAGGTATGTACATTCATGTGTGAACGCGTTTTTATAAACATTTAAATTAAAAATAAAATTTAATAAAGTAAAGAAAAATATGTCCTAATAAAATGCGACAAAAATTTTTTTGTTGGACGAATGTAGGGTAATTTTTCTGTCAAAAATATAATTGTTATTTGAAATTCAAAGAAAGTCAGATCAAAATAGTGCAAAAACTATTAAGTCTATTGCCAATTTGTTGTTAATAGCATGGCTCAATAAGAAAGTTTGATCAAATTCAAGGAAACTAGGAAAATGCAACTCTGTACTGGACTCTTATTGTGTCAAATAGACTTTTAATTGTTTATTTAAAATGTGTTCTCACAAAACTATTATAGTGGGTAAAATCCACAAAACATGAATGGAAGATCGGGTTTTCAACACAAAATTGAATCCAAGATAGTAGGCCAAGATTGTTTTAGCCCAAGATTAGGCATTTTGTTGTCCGCTATCGTGGAAAATATGAATTTCTGTTGTCTCTGAATTTGAAATAATTTCAAATTATTCCCTTTTTTATTCAAAATAATACACACACATATATAACCTCTTACTTTTTTTTACAGAATAGGGGCACCTAAAGAAAAAAAATGTATTTCGGGGGTGGCTTTGTTCCGCCTTCTGTTATTGGGCCATGGTTAATAGTAGTTCTCTCTCGTCCGACCCATGGTACAATAAAAAGGTAAGGTAAGATTAAAAGGTAAGGTAAGTGTGCCCGACTTCTACCAATTTTGTGTATGTATTTGTTGTTTTGAAAAATAAAAACAAAATATTTTCAAAATCAATGATTGGAAGAAACTTAAAATGCGCAGCGCGCATTAATAATTTTGACCAGATTCGCCATGGAATTGAAAGATTGAACACTTGGGAACATATTCTTGAGAGAACATCCAGGCATTTCATTCATCTTTCGAGCTATTTGAATCATTTTAGAAATGAACAAAAAATATCAAATAAATGAAAACCACTTGTTGCCTATAATTTTGAATAATTCTGACAGGAAGCGGGCATAGCCTCAGGGCTATATTTCCACCTCCTTATTGTACCATGGTCCGACCTTATGTTGGTCTTGGGGGAAACGTTTCAAATACCAAAGTTTTTCGAAGGAGTTTTGCTCTACTTTCACTCTTTTTCCCTTTGCACCATTCGTAAAGGAACAAGGAAAGTTAACGGAATAGAAAAGTGGGTTTTATGGGAAGGAGGGAGTAGAATGTTTTAAAGTTAAACTTTTCTTCGGCCCTGACTCGTAAAAACTCGTTTTTCTTCCTGTTGAACTTAACACGTTTGAATTGAGACATATTGTTGCAAGAAGTTAAGGACAAAATAACCCACAATTGTCGATCAATTTTTTATTTCTAATTTCGATTGGCAATGAAACTTGTCTGTAATTAATTCCCTTGTTTTGGATTTTGCATTTAAATTAAAGGAATTACCACAAAATTCCATCCATGAAATCTTCCTCAACATAAACATTTTCTGAAAAAAATTTATGTAAATAACATCAGTTGTTGCATGCTTTAAAAATCTATTCGTCACAATAAGACTCCAGTACAGAGTTGCATTTTTCCTAGTTCCTTTAAAGTAAAACTACCATTCTGGTTTTCACATTATTTAACCGTGATAGAAGAATACAGGTAGCCTCATCGACACAGCTCATGGTAGAAGGATACAGGTAGTCGCATCGACACATCTGCTGGGACAATGAACTGTCAAACCGATTTTGGAATTGAAAATTTTGAGTGAAAAATTATTAAAATTTGTAAAAATTGTTGAAAACTCATGCTATAACAAACTCTGATTTACGTCGTATAAAAAAAAAATTAAAAATCCACTTATTTTTCATAAAAGATTTTAGAAATTTTGACATATCAATGTTCCAAGCGTTGATGCACCTACCTATATTCTTCTACCATGACACAGCTGCTGGGACAATGAACAGTCAAACCAATTTTGGAATTGAAAATGTTGAATGAAAAATGATTGAAATTTGTAAAAATTGTTGAAAATTCCGTATCATTACAAACTCCGATTGGTGTCATATAATAAAACATGTAAAAATGTACTTATTTCTGACAAACAGTTTAAAAAAATTGACATATCAATGTTCCCAAGTGTTGATACGTTTACATTCAAGCTGTTTATGATATTATTTGAAGTATAATGATATATTTGAAGTGGAGTTTGTCAGAAAGTGAGTTTTTAGGAGAGAAAGAGCTGATGGAAGAGCCATTTGTTTTTCTCTTTTACGCAGACTTCCTGTCTGTTAAAGATTTAAGAATTTTCAGTTTTCTTACATTAGGGTTGCACTGAAATAAATGCGTAAGTTTATGATTTTATACACCACAAAAGTTAAGTAAAATGTGTGGCAAAATCTATTAATTCGCATTGTAAGTTTCTTCCTATAATTGTTTTGAAAATATTTTGTTTTTTATTTTTCAAAACAATAAATACATACACAAAAATTTCCAGAAGTTGTACGAACTTAGGAAAAAAAGGATTGATTGGTAGAAGAATACAGGTAGTTGAATCAACACTTGTGAACAACGATATGTCAAAATTTTTAAAATGTTTTGTCAATAAGTGGATTTTTATATATTTTCTTATACGACACCAATCGGAGGTTGTTGTAATATGTATTATTTAACGATTTTTACAAATATAAATACTTTTTCATTTAAAAATTGGTTTGCCAGTTCAATGTCCCAGCAGCTGTGTCGATGCGACTATTTGAATTCTTCTACCATTATATTGACCAAGCCAATTATTAACAGAGTGTTGCCCCAATTTTTTTAGAAAACCACTTTTTTCAAAGCCTATTTTTTACGAGCAAAGGTTAAAAGTTATTTATTGCGGCAAAGGTAAAAACAAAAAAAAAAACTTAACAAAGGCATTTTGTGCAAGCTTTTGAGTTGTTGGTTGCCTTTAAAACGTTTTTATCATTTAGGGACAAGCACGGGAATTTATTTAAAAGTTAAAACTAAACTTGTTATCAAAATTCTCACACGGCACTGGGGTAGAATAAGGGGTCCGAAGCATTCCTGCCGGCGGATTTTTTTCAAAAAACAATCCCGGGCATTGTGTAAAAATTAGCAAAATTTACTTTCTTTCCGTAAAAAACCTTCTTTTAAACAAAATATTTTTCACCATTCTTACTTCTACAGTTCTAATCATTTTTGATTCTCATCCTTCTTCTAATTTTGCCATATTTGAATAATTAAATTTTTGTAATTAACCAAATCGATTGGAAGAAGCCAAAGCAAATATGATCGATTTTATATTACGCAATTGGAACCATTCCGGTTGGAATTTGTGGCAAGCCTGATAATACATCTTGTGGATTTCAACTGTCAATTCGATTTAACGCATACGTAATGAAATTGAAATTTTGAAAGCACTAGATTTATTATATGTAAACATCATAAACATTTTGCAAAATAAAAGAAGAGCTTTAGGGTGAGAGCACATAAAAGGCTCTTTTGACTGGCTTTAATAGGCTAGCTTCTTCGTAAAAGAACAAAGAACACTCCTTGGCCAGTCGATGACTTAAGCCAGTCAAAAATGCCGATTATGTACTCACACCATTTACCATTTTGAAAAGTAAATGAAAGGAGCATTTATGTCTTAATTTTCTTGACAGCTATCATTACAAGTTTCTTGTAAGTAAATTCAGCTAACATTTTCTAAAATTTCTAAACATTAAAATTTAAACATATTCAATTTGGTAGTCCAAATATTTGCATTTTAGGAGTTTGAAAAAAGCAATAAAAAGTAAAGTAGGGCTAGCAGCTGATTACAATTTTTTTTCTAAACGTGACCGACTTCTGCTAATCTTGTATATGTATTTTTGTTTTGAAAAATAAACGCAAAATATGTTCAAAATCGACGACTGGAAAAAACGTGCATTGTGAGACCCGCTTTACACATATTAACCAGTTTGCCATGGAATTGAAAGATTGAATACATTTAATTATATTTTTGAGAGAAAATCCAGGCATTTCATTCATCTTTCACGCTTTTTGAGGAAAGATATCAAATAAATTAAGATAATTTGTTGCATATCATCTTGAATAATTCTAACAGGAACGGGTATAGCCTCAAGACTGTGTTTTTGTAGTTTTACGAAGCTGTTCTATCTCGTTATTGTCTGAAAGTCTGACACATGGTATAGGAATACAGATAGTCGCATTGACACAACTGCTGGGAAAATGAAATGTCAAACTGATTTTGGAATTGAAAATGTTGAATGAAAAATTATTGAAATTTGTAAAAATTGTTGGAAAATGCATAATACAACAACAACCCTCGATTTCTATCGCATAAGAAACCATTTAAAAATCTACTTATTTTTGACAAAATATCTTAAAATTTTTGACATATCAATGTTCCTAAGGCTGGAAATACATAAAGCGCATATTTGGCTGGCCTAAGTCATTGGCTGGCTTCTTCATAAATGAACAAAGGAGTTTTAGGTTGACCTAGTTCGATTTTGGGCCTAGGCTCCTTTGTTCATTTCCGAAGAAGCCAGCCGATGACTTAAGCCAGCCAAATAAGCGCTTTATGTATTCCCAGCTTAAGCGTTGGTGCATCTACCTATATTATTAAGCATGGGTTGACACCAATTTATATGAATGTTTACATACGAAATATATACATATAACATGCGACTAACAACTCAGAGGTTTGGGGTACATTTACACATAAATCTTTATTGGGGCTAAAAGTACGTTTAATACAAAATCTCTACCTTGGTTAACCCTGATAAGTGGAACGCTGACATCAAGTGTTCCTTTAAATCCGATAATTATCAGTTGTTTAAAAGTGATCATCACATGAACTGTCAAACCAATTTTGGAATTGAAAATTTTGAATGAAAAATTAACCATTTTTGAAAAATGCGTATCATAACAACATACGATTGGCTTCGTATAAGAAAACATATGAAAATCTTCATATTTTTCAAAATAAAAAAAAAAAACATTTTAACATTTTAACACTTTTGACGTATCCTTGTTCCCAAGCTTTGATACATCTACATGTGTTCTTCTACCATGAATTGGGCATACATGTAACAAGCTATTAACCATACTAATTTATCAATCAAAGCACATTTCAATTGTCAAATATTAAGTGAATTAATATTTTGCTTAACTCGTATGTAAACATACTTTAAATGAAACAATGGAAGAATAAAAGACAATGAACTGTCGAACCAATTTTGGAAGTGAAAATTTTGAATAATAAAATATTGAAATTTGTAAAAATTGTTGAAAAATGCATGTGGTAATAACCTCCGTTTGACGTCGCATAAGAAAACGTATAAAAATCTTCTTTAATTTAAAAAACATTTTAAAAAATTTGACATAACAATATTCCCAAGCGTTGATTCATCTACCTGTCTCAATCGCCGCGATGTTTGACCAATCACAATACATGTCAATAATCCAATATTTTGTGATTGATGGTCAATATTACACTTAACCCGGATACAAGCTCGTATGTAAACATACTTAACATACATAAAACAATAGGCAATTGCCGTTGCGTTGATCATACAGTGTGAGTGAAACGTACGCAATGTGTTGTTCACTTCCAACATGTGAAATGTCAAAATATTGTCGAATTAAAGGGATTCCTTGTTAATTGTGTCATGTATTCTTTTGAAAAAAGAAATTAAAAAAAGAATTTGTAATTAAAGATAATATTTAATTTTATTTAGTTTTCTGTTTTTTATTTATACAACAACGAAATTAATAGTTTGTTAGTTGTTTTTTTTTTTTTTTTTTTTTTGCTTTCTGGTTTACATAGACACATAGTACATACAAAATGTAAAAATGATTTGGGTTTTTTCTTTTTATTTCACCGATTATATTAGTTCTTGTAATAAAAACATTCGAATTTTTTAAAACATAAATATTGTGTTTTTTCCATTCCGTTTTGTTTTTCGAAATTTCCTGTTTTTTGTTCTAATAATTATTTATAATTTTGTATATAGTTTTTGGATTTGGTTTTTGTTAGGGTTTGCTTCGAATAAGAGTATAGTAAATGTTAAGTATAAATATTATTGTATCGATTGATATGCAAATATGTCATTTTTTTACTAATATTTGTTATGTACGCGTCATCGCTACTTCGTCTTTTAAGGTAAGGTCTATAAAATTATTAACAAAAAAAGGTTAATTTTTGGATTTACAAAAGATGAATATTAAATAATCAGACTACGATTTGTTTGTTTTTGTTTTCTTATATTTTTCTTTGAAATATCTTATTTACATTTAAAAAATGTTATAAATATAAAAAGGGCGCTTGATTTATGTTTGTTTTTCATGTAAAAAAAATTGAAAACAATTGGCCGGAGTTATTTTTCCTGTTTAATTTTGAGGTTCAAAAATGTCAGAAAAATAAATGTATTTTCCCGATTCAAACCGAAATATTAGGGAATTTTTCATTTGCTGGTGTAATTTTTTAACATTTTGTTTTCATGTTTTATTTACTCTCTTATTAGCGAAGAGTTTTAACCCCTTGTGGCCAAGTGTTATAAAGATCGCCTAATCCTTGTTTTCTACTTATAATTTTTACACGTTTTTTTAAATGAGAAAACTAACAAAAAATAAATAAAATCCCAATTAATGTAAGTGTTGAATTTCTTTGTCTTTTTTTGTTTTGTATTTTTATAAAAATATAAATTCTAATATATATTTTTTTCAATTAAAATATATTTTTCAAATTGCTTATCAGGTTGTTTCTTTGTTGTTGTTGGAAGTTTGCATTTTGTTTAAAAAATATTTTTTGTTTTTCTTCTGAAATGTAGTGTGTGGACTATTTGTGTAAACTAATTACGCCAGTTATTTTTACTAAACTCTTGTTGTTGTTTTTGCTGTTTTGTGTAAAATGTTGTTGCATCGTTTTGTTTTAAATTTGTTAATATTCCAACCGTTTAGTTTGCTTTTTGTTGTCTTCTAATAGAATTAATCTCTTTCACTTTTTGTTGTTGTTGTTTTGTAACACGATAACATATTATTGTATGACTTGTTGTTGTTGATTCAAAACTACAAATTAATGAAGTATAAAAGTACAAAATTTTTGTTTTTTTTTAATCTTCTTCTTTTTCTTTGCATATTTTTTTAATATAATTTCTACATGATTTGTTGACTTGTCTGTTTTATAGATTTATAAATATATATATATATTCATATAAACATGTTGTTTAAGTTTTTCTTTAAAGGTACATAAATGTTGTTGTCTTGACTTAAAAAATTAAAGTTTTTTTTTTATTTTAATAAAAAAATGTTTTACTTTTTTTGCATGCATATTAAATGAAGTTTTCTTTTGTTGTTTTTTTTTTTTTGGTTTAAGAATATAATTTATATATATTTTTTAACAATAGCACATTTGATTCATTATTTAGGTTCTTCATTTGTCTAAATTTTATTTAAGTCTAAAATCTAATCTCAAACACTTGAATATTATTTTGTCTTCGGTTTTCTTTTTTTGGGTTTTTGTTTGATATAAAAATACAAAGTGTCTTAGCATATCGAAAATTATGAGAATTATAAAAAGAGGCCTTAGGTAAGTGAAAAATAAAGGAGATTACAATCATATTTTGAATATTAATGGTGGGTATTTCTCTGTAATAAGTTGAGGCTTTTGCAAGAGGTTATTTTTCATATAGTATGTATGTATGTGTATGCATGAGATAAGTGAAAAATTCAATATAATGTACAAAAAGATCATAAGAGAAACAAAACACATAAATCATAAACATATGAGCTTCGCCTTAACAGGGCAAAACTCAAATATCATAATTTTTTGAAATTGAAGTAACCGACCAAATCCTCTTTGGAGCACAACTAAATCACAGCATTTTACATTAAACACGACATTTCAAATCAAATGAGCAAGCGTGGTACAATGAAATAAAGGTAATTTCAAATTAGCATTCCCAGCTCTGCATTTTGTGTTATTTACCTTGTCAAATTTTAAGGGATAAACATGAGTTCCCTTCTCTGATTTTGTGTGTATACACTGGATTTATGAATATAGATTTTGACAATGAGATGTTGTCAAATGTATTAATTTGAAAAACATTGTAAACATATGATTACATGACTTTACCTTCTTAGTTCTACCATGCGCGCAAGGTAAACACTAAGAATATTATTGACTATTCCATCATTTGTTTCGTTTTATTTTGCAAGTTGGGATTACATTAAACTCTCACTAAACACATATTTTTCGTGTCAGAGTTTTAAGCACAGATGATCAAAAGTTGAGAGAGAGAGTTAATGGGAGACGAATGTGCCCTTGATAATCAAACACCAGTGTTGCCACCAAGAAAATTTCATATTACACACGGAGGATGAGAATGAACATGTATCTAAATTTTTTTATATGTATAAATAACTATATGGCAAACTTAAATTTAAATATGATTAAATCTATAAGGTTTTATTGAACATTTCTTGTATCGGTCAAAAGTGAGTGCCTCCATTCCAATATACCATCATTGGTAGTTTAAATCGCAGTAATTTTTTTTTTTTTTTTTTTTTTTTATTTTCATATTTTCATATTCAATATTGATTACATTCAATTTGGCCTCAGCGCCGTAAGGCTTTAAAGAGGCAAGTTGGCAAAAAAAAATCATATGTTTACATACAAAATTAAAAAATTTACATACTTAAAAAAAATAAATGATTACGCCAGAAATTCTTCAACATTACGCATTATATGTTTTTTTAATTGGGTTTTGAACATTGATAAGGTTGTTAATGATTTTATTTGTTGGGGTAAATTATTAAAAGCTTTACTACCACAATATTCAATTCTTTGTTTTGTAGTTTCACTACGACAGAGTACTACATTAAACTGATTCGGATTACGAATATTGAACTGGTGTTGCCTATAAGAAAATGATATTGTATGATGTCCTATACAATGTACACATTTGAACATATAGATTAACAGTTTCAAATGGTAAATACCGTGAATAGGTAACACAGTTGGAAAAATGTCTTTATATAAGCATATCGTTGGAAATCTCATGGGTAAATTGGCGACTGCTTTCAATGCTCTATTTTGCAACCTTTGAAGACTTTTCAATTGACAACTTTTATTAAAACCATAAATTATAGCCAAATAATTGCAATGACTCTGAACAAGCGATTGAAATATGAGAAATTTAGTCTTTTGATTAAACTTATTTTTAAACTTATAAAGCAGCCCAATGGCTGCCGAGACCTTAGATTTTATATGTTCAATATGTTGGTCCCATACTAGATTGCTTTCCAAGAAAAGTCCTAAATACTTTACAACACTGACTTCACGAATTTCCTTCCCATCAACAAAAACACTGAAGCTGTTATCAAATCGAAAATGAGGCCTAAATCTTATAAGTTGAGTCTTTCCAGAATTAATAAAAAGCTTATTTATCCGAGCGTATTCAAATATTAATGCTGCATCCCGTTCTATATATGGTTTGACTCCAGTTTCATGTTTGAATGGATATAGTAGACAAATATCGTCAGCATATAAAAACAGCTTACCAGATAGTCCAAGATTTTTCATATCATTTATATAGATAGAAAACAGCAATGGACCAAGAACGCTACCCTGTGGAACCCCATATTTCACAAAATTAACACAACTTCTCTCTTCCTGGATTTGAACAAATTGCTTTCGGTTGTGCAAATAGCTTTTCAATAGAGACAGCTCTCTCCCTTGTATTCCATAATACTTTAATTTTTCGATTAAAATTTTGTGATCAATAAGATCGAAAGCTTTACTAAGGTCATAAAAAATGCCTACAACACCACTGTTTCCGCTATCCAACCCATGACATATAGAATTGATGACACTCACTGTGGCTTCTTCCGTTCCACAACCTTTCCTAAACCCAAACTGGTAATCATATAACATGTGGTTTTCATTAAAATATGAAGTGAGTTTGTCATATAAGATTCTTTCAAATATGTTATTAATCTGAGGTAAAACAGAAATTGGCCGAAACTTATTAATATCATCACAAATCTTTTCTTTTGGAATTGGAATTACCTTGTGAATTTTTAATATTTCTGGGTAAATGGCGGAGCTGACCATGGAATTGAAAATAGTCACCAAAAATGGAACCAGTAGATCAGCGGATGAATCAAAAATTTTTGGTGAGATACCGTCATGGCCAGAACTTTTGCCTCGTTTGATATGCATTATTATTTCATTAATCTCGACATCAGACGTGAAAGCAAGAGAAAATTCGCTGTGACAATGAGTCAAAGTGAGCAACGAATTGCAATGGTCATACGGGTTAGATATTATTTGTTCTCTTAACTTCTCAACAGCCTCCAAAAAGAAAATATTTATTTTGTTTGCAGTATCCGCATCACTTAGACACGTATTTGTGTTGGAATTTTTTAACTTTATTTGATTCTTTTTGTTTCTTCCAAGAGTTTCGTTCAAAAAGCGCCATGTTTTTTTAGGATCTGTATAAGTCTCGCTTAAGTTTGTTTCGTAATATGCGTTTTGAGATTGCTTATAAGCCTTTTTTATCACTTTGCTAATTCTTCTAAGATCCTGAGCAATCAAACTATCATTAGGTTTCTTTCTTCTTCTTTTTAATAATTTTTCTTTCACCTGAAAAAGATTTCTCAAATTTCCGTTAACCCAAGGAGATATTTTTTCCCTTAAATCTTCCCTTCTCCGAAGTCTGAGGGTACCAAAGTCGATAGCATTCTGTATACACGATATCAGACAATTTGTGTCAACTGATGGGTTATTCGATAAAGTTATTGTAGATAAATGATTTAGTAAATAGGACCGTACTTTGGAGTAATCACATCTAGAATGTTCCGAGATAGTACAATTCCGCCGAACAACACGCCGATCAAACAAAACGGAAATCAAATTATGATCAGAAATTTCATTCACAACAGAATCAGTGCATACATTATTCGGTGTATTTACATAAACGTGATCAATGGATCTGTTACTCAAAGGTCGAGTGACCAGGTTATGAGAGTTTTCAAAATCATATGTAGAAAGCAGATTATTTAAATTTACAGCAGAGTTTTGCATTAAAACATCAATGTTGGCATCACCTACAAAAATACACGGGTTACGTCCATGATTTGAAAGTAAATTTTCAAGAAGACTTAAAAATATGGTTTCACAGCATTTAGGTGACCTGTAAAAACTGCAAATGTGCAATGGTTTATTATTTACTCTTATATCAGAAAGTTGTACTACAATAGATTCAAAATAATGCTGGCTTTGGCATTGCTGTATAGAAAACGTAACGTTATCACGAATATATAATGATGTCCCACCATACCCATCAGATCTACAACAATGTACCACATTGTACCCTGGAACATTATAAATTTGTACAATATCATCAGAAAACCATGTTTCCTGAACAGCAATAACAACCGGAAGTGCAGAAAACTTTGCAACAAGACATTTAAACTTATTGAATTTTGTAATTGATGAAATACTTCTGGCATTTAATGAAATCATACTAAAATATTCACTAAAATTTTTTAATTTTATATTAAATTCTTCAAAATGTTTAAAATATTGGTTAATCATAAAAATAAAATAATTTGAAAAAATAATAAACGTAAAAGAAAAATATACATAAAAAGATTAACATGGCGATTCAAAGTTGTTGTCAGAATCTTCACCAGTAGCTACATGCCTTGATCTCCTTTTTTCTTGAAAAGTTGCAGCTTCTTCCAATAATTTGTCAACATGATCCTTGTCTCGTATCAACTTAGCTTTAGATAAGTCACTTTTCTTCACGAAAACTCTGCCAGACGATACGTAAACAGACCTATATCCCACTTTCTTCAAAGACTTTGCATAATTAAACAATTCCATACATTCGCGACTGAGAAAATCGTTTACATAAACATTCTTTGTATCTTCCATGTCTTTCAATTTCGGTTTGATCGACATGAGCGCTTCCTTGGATTTCCGTGAATCAAACTTCACAACAACGGTTTTTCTTTCATTTTCTTTTCTACTTCTAAGAAAAAACGCATCAGAAATAGATTTCTCTTCAATTTCTACACCTGCAGCTTTGGACAACTTTACAATGGTGGCGGCTGCCGATAAATCTTTTATCTCCCTTACACCAGTAACAATGCAATCATTTTTGACTCTTTGGTCATTTAAAAATTTTACGGATTTTTTTAAATCGGTAACTTCTTGTTTGAGTGCTTTGTTTTCTTTTTGCACCAGCTCCAATTTGCGGTTATTCTCAGCTACGCCTCTGAGAATGTCATCATATTGCTGGGACATGAATGTCATCGTTTCATGCATAACACTCAGCTGATCCAGCTTCTTGAGTTCCCTTTTAATGTCCTCTAACTCATCTTTGACCGAAATATTGTTTTTGTTGCCCTTCTTGTTGTTACAAACATGACAAACAAATTCTTCGTTCTCATTGTCAAGCAGACGTTTAAACTGGCGTTTATCTAGCTGAGTGCATACATCATGATACTCTCTTTCGCACTCATCACACTCTATGCTTTGATCATTTTCTTCGATAACCAGCTTACATTGAAAACAAATATTTTTTTTCTTCAAGCTTCGTCTGTTTGATGGAGCCATATTCCAATCACTTCACTGTTATTACCGTTCGCTTGATATTAATTTGACACTTCAAACTCCCAACTATGTTTTAAACTTTTGCTTTTTTGTTTTTTTTAAAAATTGTATGCGGAGCTCAAAGAAAAATGACGTTTACACAACAAGGGTTGCCAACTCCAATGTTTTTGCAAACATTGTATTTCTTAACCTTTCTGCAATTACTTAAAGCACTAAATATGCGGTTGCATAACTCTGAAATACTCCCCCTTTGGCTTAACTTCATATTACTCTCCCTTATAGAGAGTAATAACTTTCAAAACTAACAGCTTTGTAATATTTGCTGGTCGCTACAAATATCCCGATTTCATGGCGACGAAGGGAATGGTCCCTTGGTTTTTTTTTCAGTGTTTTGGCATGACGACTATTTTATTAAAAACAAAGCACTTTAAGTTCGAGCATTTTCAAGAAAATGAGAATCACATTTACTTCTGTCTTCCCAAAAATCATTAGCTAAATAATCTTTCTGCAGAAGCTTTTGAGAAGAACAGGATAATTAATAAGCTGTTGCAAAAAGATGAACCTTTGATGTTTGACAGCGGCAATAATAAGTATCCTGTGTTGCAATGTGAAGTAATATATATTTAAATTTTTTATTACGTGGTGCGAAATAAACGCATAGTCTACACAATATTAAAATTGGACAGTCAGAACCATTGAAAAACAATGTAATTATAGGGTAACAAAATTGGAAGAAAATAGAATTTCTTTCTCTCTATCCGATGCTGCTTCACTTCACCAAACACGGCAGATTCTATTAAAGAGAGAATACGTGAAGGTTTATGTTTGTTCGCTTGAGGCACTCATGACTGTTCTGTATGTTCTTTTATTTATGATTCTATGACATAAAATCTATGACTGGGCCGGACAAGGAGTCGCACATTTATGCTCTCCCTAAAATTGCTATATAGAACGAAAAAAAGTTTAAATTCATTATATATACCAAATATATATAATATTTTATAAAATATGATTCGAGTAAATACGCGTTAATTTTTCTTAACTACGTCAATAAATCCAATAAATTACACATGAATTAAACATACCATACCAATTGCACATGGGTCACACATGCAGTGAAAAATTACACACGATATGTGTAAGTACACATGAGGTGGCAACACTGATGGCAATGTTGCAATTACCCGAAAAAAGAAGTTAGTCTCAGCATATTTTAGCTATTGGCAATTCGAATTTCATTCCTTTATATAGGCGCCTCAAAGTATGCTACACTCAAACGAATATAGAACATATAAGTGTAACATCGGCCTATGGTGAAATCAATTGCTAGCTAACATTTGATTTTTTTTGTGAATTTTGTTCGGAAACTTCTACCTGAAATATTGAATTGACAGAATGAATAAGAATTTTTTTATGTGTTTGTTTTCTCTTTCGAGACGAGCTTAATGATCTGAAATTTGAAACAAAAGTTATGTAAAAAGAGCGATTCAAATGAGAAATTGCAACTCATGTTCTTCTCCTTCCCGTGATTTATATTTGGACAAATAAATTAAAAAAATCTTTATTTTGAAAGGAAAATCTTTATTCAGAAAGGATTTTAATCTTCAAAGGAAATATAAAAAATGCAACTCTGCACTAGAGTCATATTAGGTGTGCTTCGCTACCTTAAAATTTGTAGCAATTGTTTTTGGAAGTTGTCTGCAAAAACAAAAATGAGAAATGATGTGAAATTTTGACAGTTCTTTCACTGAAAGTTTGCAAATTCTTGCAGAACAAATTTCTTCTTGCAATCATTTGCAACTCCTGTTCTTTTCCTTCCCGTGATTTATGTTTGGACAAACAAATTTAAAAATTTTGGAAATTTTGTTTTTTTTTTTTTAGCTCATTTATATATTTATGGAGGACTCGTCAGCTGATTGCTTGCAAGTTTATGCAGGGATTCCGTCTGTTTACTTTTTGAAGTTTCCTTTGCAAAAGAGAATAAAACTATCTTACTCTCTCGGAAAGAAGTTGCTGGACAATGTCTGTAGGAAAAGTAACCAGACAGACCTACTGGTTTATTTTATTTTTTTTTCACACAAAGCCAGAAAAGTTATGAATTTGACGTTGGGGTAATTTCAATACATTTGCTCAGTAAAATGTACAGATTTAAACATTTTCTGTTTTATGACAAGTTTTGCAGGCAAAATTAAAAATTCTCAAAACGAGGCGCATACATTTTGCAAAAAATCTGTTTCTTCAAAGTTTGTACATGGCTGTACAAGTAAATTGCGTGTTTAAAGTTGTGGCGAAGTTTTGGATGATTTTTATAACAAAAAAGGAACAAGTAGTGCGATTCTGTAAGCCTTTCACATTTTTTTGGTATAACTATAGTGTAATCTGCCACAGAATCCCAATACTGTCGTTAACTAAAAAAAACTAGGCAAATCAATAAATGGATACAATAAAAATAACATTTTTTTTGTTTTATTTTTATTTATTAAAAAAATTAATAAAAACATGTTTTGCTTTAGGCAATTGGTATCAATAATAATAAAAATGTATAAAAAGTATAAAAATTTCTCTACATAAAAATGATTTTCAATACAAAAAAATATATAAAATGTGTATGTGTAACAAATAATAATTAAAAAAATATAATATTTAAAATAATAAAAAAGTAAACAAACACATTTGTATGTCGTCTCTCTATGGTTGTGTGTGTAGATTAGCATCATGTAAACAATGTTTAACAGTGTTTCAAACTAATTAAATACAAAAAATTGCAATTATATGTATATACTAGTTAAAAAAAGTTACAAAAAAGAATTCTTCTATAAAAATGAGAAATTAACAAATTTGATTTATAGCTACTCAAACTTAATGATTTAATGCATAATGTAAAAAAATATATAAAAAACACAAGAAAATACATAACAAGGCTGCTTAAACAGATGACGGTGGCCACAGAGGCTAAACGAGAGTTTGGTTGATTTGGGGATCGGGAACGGGATCAAGAGGAGCCTTAGATATAACATTCATATTAAATTTGTTTTTAACAAGATAAATAATATTTAACAGTATAAAACGTATGCATAATTGTTTTTTTTTTGTTTGTTTTGTTTTAATAGTAATATAGATTGTACAATATTATGAAAAAATTATTTAACAGTATTCCATTTATAGTTTTTTTTTCTTGGTTTGGTTAAATTTAGTCAAAGAAAAGTGGGCTTTTGAGAGAAGGGAGATTTTGAGGAGAGAGAGAGAGAGGTGTTGTAAAGATAATATTAACATAGATAAACTTAACAATTGAAACAAATTTCCGTGACATTTTGCTAGTCCCAGCAGCTGTGGAAACGTTAAAGAATGGCAACTCTGTTTTATAAACTGTCATCCGTAAGAGATTTAAAATCCCCACCATTTTTCGACATTTCCGCTTCCGCATGCAGTGTTGTATTTCTAATTGTCTACCATCAGCTGTTGGGCTCTTCTTATTCTACTTCTTCCTTTCCATTGATTTACTTACAAAAAAGGGATTCTTTCTTTACGTGAAAAATCGTTAGCTTTAATACATATTCTATTAAATATTAAATAGTATTTTGTTTAAAATGTGTATAAAAAATTAACAGTGAAAAAATATATACTTTTGTTTATGACTTTATCCAGTATCGTCTTCGTCTTATTCTTCTGGTTTTTTTTTTACTACATATTATTATGTTCTAAAAAAATTACAGCTAATTACAAAAATTAGAAACAAATAAAAAAATATTTTATATTTCTTGTTTTTTCTTCTTCTTTTTTTTTCTTATACAAAGTTGTTTTTTGTTTTGTTTTATTAAGTCCTTGATGAAACTAATTTTTATCGTGTTTTTGTTTTTCTTTTGTTTTCCTTTAAGCATTTAAAAAAATATATAATGATTCATTCATTTTTTACTTGCTTTTACAGCTAGATATTTGCGTTATTTGCAATATATGGTTGTAGTTGTGTTTGTGTGTTGTCTGTGTGTGTGTCTTATGGGACTCTTTGTTGTAAGTGTAGTTGTGTTGACTTTTAATTGGCAACTAAAAGTTGTTGATAGGAGCCAGTGGCATTGGAATAGAATGAATTGAGACCATCGATTAATTTCGAGTTAGCCGAAGCATTGGAGGAGTTCGACGACGATGACGAGTCTTGTTGGCTAGTGCTGTTGTTGACAGCGGCCACAGCAGCCACAACTGCATTGGCAGCATTTTGACGTTCCGTATTTGCAGCTGTTACCGCAGCATTTGCAGAGCTCGCTGGGGGCACGGGACTGACAGCAGTGCTTTCATTGGCGCCATTGGTTACTGTTACAGTAATGTTGGCAGCATTGTTGTTGGTATTGCTATTGCTGTTGTTGGAGCCGGCAGCTGAGTCCTTGGCAATATTTTCGGCAATATTTGAAGCTTTCATATTGCCCAACGAATGATGAGCGCCACCAACACCACCATTCATGGCAATGGGAGATTGTGGCTGTTGATGTTGTTGTTGCTGCTGCTGTGCCATATGATGATTTCCTCCGATGTTATAAAAACCATGTGGTTCCAAATAGTTATTGAATTTACCGTGACCCACACCATTGTTAGTTGGGGCAAACAATCCATTGCTATCGGCACCATGGAAGTGAGTGGCATCGAACAGATTACGATGATGATTATTGAATTGTGGATACATGCCCATAGCCATGCTGGGGAAATAGAAGGGATCGCCACCATTTTGTGCCATACCCAAAGACAAGGGATTTGGCGATAGAGATCGTGCCGGTGAGACGGGTCCAATGGGGCCAAAATGATTGCCAGGCTGTCCGGGACCGCCAACACCATTGGGTGAATGCCCATGACCACCATGATGTATTTGCTGTTGTTGCATGGCACGTTGTTTTATATAGTTTGAGAACTCTGTTGGGGACATACGATATGAAGTGCTGTAAGAGAGAAGAAAACTTGTCTGTTAACGGATTTCAAATGAAGCGGAATTGAAAACTAAGTTATGCTATAAGCCATGGCGTAATAATAAGCGGTTCCTGAAAATTGCAAAAACCAGATCATGGTAGAAGAATACAGTTAGACGCATCAACACAGGTGTTGGGACAATGAACTGTCAAACCAATTTTGGAATTAAAAATTTAGAATATAAAATTATTCAAATTTGTAAAAATTGTCGAAAAACGCATATTATAATAACCTCCGATTGACGTCTGATTATATTTGAAAAAATATTTTAAAATTTTTGACATAAAAATGTTCCCAAGCGTTGATGTCTCTACCTATGTCACTTTTACCATGAACCAGATGTAATGTCAACACTTGTTTACACTTTGACATTTTGAAAGTTTTTTGATTTCAATTGTAGTTTTTATTGTAATTTTTATGACATATGCTATGTGATTTCAATCACAATAATATATTTTGACATTAAATTTGGTAGCCAGCTGGCTCTTTGTGATGTCTGAGCTAAATTTGACAATTGAAATCAGGTTCAGAAAACAGGTAGGTGCATCAACGCTTGGGAACATTAATATGTCAAAATTTATTTAAAAACAATTCAAAAATAAGAAGATTTTTACAAATTTTCTTATGACATCAATCGAAGGTTGTTATTTAATTTTTAATTCAACCTTTTCTTTTAAAATTTTCAATTTCTAAATTGGTTGACAGTTCATTGTCTTAGCAGCTGTGTCGATGCGACTGTGTCGTGAAAATACAACAATGTTGCCATTTTTGGTTGAACAAAACGCGAAAACACTGTTGTCGGCCACAGGTGGCAACAATGTTGCATTTTCATACCGAAGTCACAATTTTAGCTTTGATCTGTTTTAAAGTACGTTTAGATTTACGAAATCCACTTGATCTCCAATTTCATAGCGTATACCATAGTAGAAGAATATAGGTAATCGTAACGACACAGCTGCTGGGACGATGAACTGTCAGACCAATTTTGGAATTGAAATTTTTGAATGAACATTTATTTAAATTTATAAAAATTGTTAAAAAATCATATCATAACAATCTCCGATTGGCGTCGTATAGGAAAACATATACAAATCCACTTATTTTTGAAGAAACATTTAAACATTTTTGACGTATCAATGTTCCCAAGCGTTTAGGCATCTACCTGTATTCTTCTACCATGTCGTATACATAAAATAATAACCACTAGATTTATGAATACAATATACCATGGTAGAAGAATATAGGTAGTCGCGTCGACACAGCTGCTGGGACAATGAACTGTCAAACCAATTTTGGAATTGAAAATGTTGAATGAAAAATTATTTTGATTTGCAAAAATTTTTGAAAAACGCGAATTATAATAGCCTCCTTCTAAGTTAGAATAAGAAAACATATAAAAATCTACTTATATTTTAAAAAACATTTCAATTTTTTTGACATATCAATGCTCCCACGCGTTGATGCATCTACCTGTATTCTTCTGCCATGCAATATACGCAACGTATACGCTACGTAATTCACATGGAGTAGAGTCGAGTGGATTTAGTAGTCTAAACGTGCTCTTAAATTTATTTCACGAAATTAATTACAAATTCGTTTTGTTTATTATTTTCAACCTAAAATGAAGATGCCATTGTGAAAAAATGCTGTGACTACCAGTTACTTTTACAAAAAGCTTGCCATATCTCTGTAAGAAATGCATAAACTTTAAAGGAAAGATGTAATAATGAGAATCCGATAATGTGAACTTTATCCTTCACTTTTCCTAAAGTAAGGGATAACAAAAGTGGACTATAAAGGGAAGATATAAGAACGGGCCATAGAAGTATAAAGATGGGACAAGACAGAGTCAATATATGGCGATCCTTTTTTTATATTAACATGGTGCTGTCATGAACTGTTATCTAGATAGTAAAGACACAAACCATTTGCTCAGAATGCATTTTGTCTAGTATTTACTATTTTAGGTCTTTGCTTTGTTCCTCTACGAAGAAGCCAGCCGATGACTTAATCCAGCCTTTATGTATTCCAACCTTAAGGGTTTTACATATGGGCTGTCGCTTTTATTATCCAACCAAGGGAATTTCCGTATGTATGTCAAAATTACCATTTTACATGCGACTCATAATTCTTGCTATCACACACTTGCATATGTTTTTTTATTTTCTTTGATTTAATGAATTTCTGCCGCAAATTTAATTTCATATATTTTCACAACACTTTTGATTAATTATATTTTCCGATGAAAATAGGGCTCGCTGTGATCGATAAAGTACATATGCAACATCTACATATGGGAAATTTTACACTACAAATGTGCAACACTTATTTTCTGATAGCAGCTTAAATTAAGGATAAAAAATATATTAGTCGTTAAAAGATTTTGATAGAAACAATGATGTAAGCTTCTATATAATTTGTTCAATGCAACTTTTGATTTTTAAAGTTATCGATTTTAATGGAAATCACGAAATTGAGAATTCCCCAGTTCTATTTGATATCTAACTTGATTTTTTTTTATAATGAACTTATATAGAACGAATTAAAAAGGGTACTTACTTATTTGATCTTTTGGAATTAGTTTTCAATTTTGTCGAACCAAATTTCGTTTGAGCAAAGGTAGCTGTAGTGAATGTCAATGGTGCCTGAGAACGTTGCATAAATCCAACATTGTTTACACCGGGTGCAGTTACTGGATTCGGACTGCCCTTATAGGTAGGAGAATTGGATGTAGCCGAGAGGGGTGATGAGCCAGCCATGGGAGAAGTTTTAGGACTTAAACTCAAACTATTCATGCTCGAGTTGACAGCATCGATAGGGCGGAAACATTGGGCCTCAGGATTAAATGTCTTATTCACTTCTCCATCAGCGGATGAGTTATCTTCCTGATTGTCACTATTCTCGGAATAGAGAATCTAAAAAACAAGGGGAAAATGATAATGGAAACTGTTCGGATGTCATGGGGTGTGTTCATGCAACTTACCTTAACGGCACCCTTTTCACCGATTCGATAAGACACCTCACCGGGATCCACCCACACGGAAAGCTCATTTGGAAGATTTTCTAGAATATCTGTTATTGGAACACCACTTTCACGAGCGGCCCGTTCCAAAACGGAATCAATGGGATCGCCTGTTTTTAGGCAACGAAATGCAGAACCCTGAAATAATTAATAATAAAAGTAATAGATTAATAATTTGTAAGGCAACAAGTTTTTTAATGCAAACACAAGAAGTAACTGGGGTATTTCATGAAATTCGATGATAATGACATGTGATAAAAAGAAACTGAGAGAAGGAAAAATCACGGATATTTTGTGGAGATTTTAAAAGCAGAGTTGTAACGTGCGTTTCTATCATTTTGCTTGTAATTGTTAATCAATAAAAACATAAAAAACAAGCATTCCCACTTTTTATTGGTGTTATAGTGGGGAAACAATTATAAAACCATGTTCCTTTATAAATAAAAATTTTTTGGAAGGACATTCGGATTCGACTTTTAATATCTGTCAAGAATTCTTTCATAAAAAAGTAGGCGGATTTGATGGGAAACATCTGTTCAGCCTCTTTATAAATAATAATATGATTAACAACCAAAAATCAAAACCATCTCATGCACATTCCTCATATTATAGGGTCCTGTGGCAACTCCGTCCCAGATAAATCAACAGAAGAGACAACAAAGGGGAAAACAAAAGTTAGTTGCTCGCGAGATTATCACTATCACAGTTGAAACAAATCGATTTCAACAAATTTAATTCATTTTTATTGTTTTTTTCAATAATAAATAAATAATTATTGTAACGATTATACGATTTTATTTCCTCGATAACTAAATACTATAACAATAGTCTCAAGCAATTATATGTAGCTCACTATGTAAGAAACTTGCACATTTAAATTAGGGATCGATGTTTTATAAACAAAACCGATTATTAAAAGATTTTGCACCAAAAAATAAATGATGTCTGTATTTTTGACAATAACTCTTTGTCACATTTTACTCTTTTGCAAGAAGATAACTATAGGGTGAGATGAAAAAACTACAACCAACTTCAGACTGCTGTCATGTCTAAGCCACTCGTCCGACAGCTGTTAAAATTACTCCAGTAACAGCTCATTATATTGTTTACAATCGTACAAAAGCATTTTGGTCAGAGTTTTCCAGGAAAAATGTTATTCGTGATGGAATTCAAGCGTGATAGTGTGATTTCTTTATATTTGGCTGGAAAACCACAAGTGGCTATCGTTAGAGCACTCCAACATTTAAATGTGAATAAATCTTTTGTGTCTCGCACCATCGCTCGTTACCATTATACTGGTAGCGTAGCCCGACGTCAAGGAAGTAGATGGAAGAAAACAGCAACATCAAATAAAATGAAAATGTGCACCTTCGGTTGGCCACCAGAACTCAAGCGCCGGCCATGGTGATGGTGTGGGCCGCCATAACAGCCGATAATCGCTCTCCGGTATCAGAATAAATGCCAAATATTTTGGAGGGTGTATTAAAGCCTTGGACACGCAAACATTTTGTCCGCAGACCTTGGACATTCCAACAGGACTCAGCACGCGCCATCCAATAATATTAAAAAATGAGGTTCCTTGCTTCATTTCCAGCACACAATGGCCACCAAAATCTCCGGATACCAATCCGTTGCACTATTGTGTCTGGAGTATTTTGGAAAGCAAGGTTGGTACTAAAAAATACCAACGCGTCGATCACCTCAAGCAAGCGCTTCACCGGGAATGGAGCAAAATACCGCAGAGCAACATTCGGGCAGCGTGTGACGGTTTCATGTGAAGGCCATAATTCGTACCAAAGGTGACCAATTCAAACAAATCTAAACTTATTCTAAATTTTGATGCTATTTTCGACATTTTTTGCTTTCATTCAAAAAAATTTAAAAAACAAATGTAAAAATTATGGCGTTTGACTTTGTTGCAGTTTTTTTATCTCACCCTGTACACTCCATGTAGGTGTGAACTTTTCTTTAGTAAAATTGCTAGCATCTAAGGAAATATAAATTTTTAGGACTAAAATGTTTCCACGAAAAACTTAGTATCGAAGCCTGGCCAAATTTTAAAGTCATTTTACGAACGAGCAACATTTTTCCCCGGACCAGAGATGGAAATTTCAGATTGTACCATTTTTTGAACAGTGTTTGTGCTGTTCATGACATTTCTATGTTCCTATTTCATTTAAAACATTTGCTTTGCCTTATACATACCTTGACGGGCTTCTCAGGATACCAGTGACCTTGGAATTTATCCTTTAGCGCCTTCTCCAATTCCTCGCCAAAAATATTCACCCGCCGCCGGGGCAGTTTGTTGTACAGATACGAGATAACGAAATTTAATGCCACTTGTATTTCAATATGCATTTTTGTTAGTCGTTGTTTCGTTTATTTGTTTGAAGTAGAGTCGGTCGGTCGGTCGGTTGGTTGTTTGGTTGGTGGCTAGAATATGTTTGTCGGTATGTGTGTGGTATGTGGTATGGCTTGGCTCTTCAGGGCTTTAAATATCTCACGGCTATTTGATGGGCTTTGCTGAGTTCTTTTTGCGTCTTGTATTGTTTTGTTGAGGATTATTATTTTAGTTTCTTTTTGTCTGTCCTTTGTTTTGTCCAGTGGTTTGTTTCTTTCTTTTATATTTGTTGTATTTTGTAAGTGTAGTTAGTAGTTTTGGTGTGTAGGTGTATAAGTTTGCCTCTTTTTATTGTAGTTGTGTGTAGTAGTAAGTTATTATTATTTTATATTTTTGGTGTTGCTTTCTATTCGGTTTCTAAGAATGCAATTGTGTGTGTTCAAGGACTTTGTCTTTCTTTCATTTGGTTTTCGATGGTAATTTGGGGGGGAAGAGGAGACTTTTTAATTGCGATTGTTGTTGTTTGTTGTTGTTATTGTTACTTTTATGGATTTCTCTTCTTTGGCAACGTTGATTCGTAGTAGTATCTGTAGCTAAGTATGTATCTTGTTTGTGTGTGTGTGTTTTTTTGTAGTTGCAAACAGTGGATAGTAGTGACTGGGAACTGCTTCGATTCGTCGCTTTGTCCTTTGTGTTGTTGCGGTAGTTTTGTTGGTGGTTTGCTTTTTAGTTTCGTTGAATTTCCACTGGCGGTTAGACTAATGATCTGTAAAAGAGTTCAAGACAATAGAACGATTAAAATATAGGTTTTTTTGAAATGAGCCATTAGAAATATTGCGCAATAACATTTGTTAAAGGGTAAAGTTCACAGTTGTGAACAATTTAAAAATATATATTTTATTAGATATTAGTTTGGGTCTATCAAATTTGATATATCTCCCTAACATATTCTGGAAAGAAATCATTTGCAATACTAAGGCTGGAAATACATAAAGAGCATATTTGGCTGGCTTAAGTCATCGGCTGGCTTCTTCGGAAATGAACAAAAGAGCCTAGGGCCAAAATCGAACTAGGTCAACCTAAAACTCCTTTGTTCATTTACGAAGAAGTCAGCCGATGACTTAAGTCAGCCAAATATGCGCTTTATGTATTTCCACCTAAATTTAAAAGGGATTTGAATTCAGTTTGAGTTAATATTTATGCAACCTAAACATTTTTTTGCAACTTCATCATAATTTCAGTTAACGCCTTAAAGTATGCAATAAATATACATTTATGAGGATGTAACACTAAAAGTGTGGCAACCAACTTCAGATTGCTGTCATTTCTATGCCACTCGTCCGACAGCTGTTAAAATTATTCCAATGACAGCTCATTATATTGTTTACAAGCTATACAAAAGCATTTTGGTGAGAATTTTCCAAAAAAAGTTATTCGTAATGGAATTCAAGTGTGATAGTGTGATTTCTTTATATTTGGCTGGAAAACCACAAGTGGCTATCGTTAGAGCTCTCCAGCATTTAAATGTGAATAAATCTTTTGTGTCTCGTACCATCGCTTGTTACCGTGATACTGGTAGCGTAGCCCGACGTCAAAGAAGTGAACGAAAGAAAACAGCAACATCAGCAGAAATGGTTCGAAAAGTAAAGAAGCGACTTGATCGAAAACCGCGTCGCAGCGACCGAAAAATGTCTCGTGAGCTGAACATATTGCAATATTCCATGCCGCAAAATTTTTAAATATGAGATCGGGGCAAAGCCTTTGAACTCCAAAAATAGCAAGAACTTATACCGCAACAGAAATAAAATAGTCTCAAAAGAGCTAAAGAGTTGCCTCACTTGGCCGAAAGTGGTGAGCTGCCGAATTTGGTTTTCTCCGATAAGAAAACATTTGTTGTCCAGCAGTTTGTAAACAAACAAAATAATCGTGTTTACTAGCCAAGAGGTCAGCTGAAAATGTGCACCTTCGGTTGACCACCAGAACTCAAGTGCCGGGCATGGTGATGGTGTGGGCCGCCATAAAAGCCGATGGTCGCTCTCCGCTCGTATTAATTGATCAGAATAAATGCCGAATATTATCGCGAAAATATTCTGGAGGGTGTATTAAAGCCTTGGGCACGTAAACATTTTGGCCGCAGTCCTTGGAAATTCCAACAGGACTCACCACCAGCATGCGTCACCCAAGAATGGTAACAAAATGAAGTTCATCGCTTCATTTGCAGCGCACAAGGGCCACCAAAATCTCCGGATACCAATCGGTTGGACTATTGTGTCTGGAGTATTTTGGAAAGCAAGGTTGGCACTAAAAAATACCAAAGTGTCATGACTTTGTTGCTGTATATGAAAGCTATATCCAAATGTAAACCGATCTCGATTAAATTTAGCAAAGTTATTTCTGAACTATATTTGATATATTTTCCCAAATATTGTTGTTACAGAGTGCATATTATGGCTGCGGAGGACAATAATAACAAATCGAATGAACAATATATATGGGAGCTATAGCTATATCTTAACCGATTTTATTTTCTAGCTTAATTTGGTCGTATATGCAAAATTCCATACTATTTGTGCTGATATTACACGTTCGGTGTACAATAAAAGGCAAATCGGACGAAAATATGTATGGGAGCTATATCTGAATTTTCACCAATTATCTCCAATTTCAATAGGGTTCGTCCTTGGTTTAAACAAACGACTTGTTCAAAATTTCATCTGGATCGGGTAATAAATGCGACCTGTACTTTGTTTACAAAAAAAAACATGGACAGACGGACATACATAAATCGACTCGGAATGTGATTCTATGCAGATCATCAAAAGAAACTATGGGTCTATCTCGCTTCCTTTTCCCTGTTACAAACAAATGCACAAAGACATAATACCCTGACCACCTTGTGGTGTAGGTTATAACCCATGGTAGAAGAATACAGGTAGATGCATCAACGCTTGGGTAGATTGATATGTCTATTTTTTTATATGTTTCTTCAAAAATAAGTAGATTTGTATATGTTTTCCTTGACGCCAATCGGAGGTTGTTAAATTTTTTTTTAACAAATTTTACAAAGTTGTATAATTTTTAATTAAAAAAATTTTAATTCCAAAATTTGTTTGACAGTTCATTGTCCCAGCAGCTGTGTCGATGCGATTACCTGTATATTATACAACGATAAATCACATTATCGAATGTAAACCTACTATAAGCACCAATTCAATTTAATGTTTTCAATTTCATTGATGTCACGTTGTTGTGTTGCCTATAATTCATTTCATTTCGTTACTAATAATTTATTCAAGGCAAATTTGAAAATATTTATCCACTTTTGATTACTTCTACACAAATATGTCCACACGCACACACACACACACAGCTTTGGAATTGTTTACATGTGCCGTTTACTATTTGACATTACCTATTAGAATTCAAATTGTGTGCAGCACATAGTTATTTCAATTAATATTTTCCTAGTTTTATTTCAACGCGAACACACTCACACACACACAAACGTGCAATATTTCTAATTGCTTTACTGGGATTTCAATTTCAGTTACTTAGTTACCGATTCTATATATCCTAGGGATGGCGATGCACTAGGCACACGACTAAAAATCAAACTGCTGCGGATACGGATATGATCAAATTGACGGCACATGCCAACACACATGCACTCACACACACACGCACACACACGACATCACACGTTTCAAAAATCAATTTGGCACAATTTCCGCACGACTTAACGAACAAACGTCGACGACGACAAGGTAAGCTAAAACATTTTGTTGCTTTCATTCTCTTTTGGAAAACTTAATACTCACTTAAAAATTTTCCACTTGTTCAGCGTTCTAAGTGTTTTTTTTTTGACAATTACAGGTTTTAAAAGAAACTCTAAACTCTAGGGGAACGTGAGCTATGAACTGTGTTAATTTCCTCTACCAATGTTGGGTTAAACAATTTTCACTTTTAATGATTTGATTTCGAATGAACTTTAACAACAAATTTCAATTTCATTTTACCGTCAAAAGCTGGCTAACAACAAATCTTTGATAATAATTGGCAAAGATTTGCAAAGACGAAATCCCCAAAACGGCTGATGGATGGATACAACAAAGAGCAAACAACGATTGGGCATGCACACATACAAATACAAATAACAACAACAAAAGTGCAAACTTTATGATGTAATAGATAATCAGAACCCAGCCGCTCAGCTGACCAGCTGAGAGGAGAGTCTAATTCTGTCTGTCCGTCGCATGACAGTAGAACTAGCAACAAGCAAAACAAATTCACTTTCTTCTGTTTTGTTTGTTGCCACTGATGTGGTGCAATAGCAACAAAAAAAAAAAAAAAAAAAAAAAAAACAAAAGCAAAAATACAATTAGGCGAGCAAATAAAAACAAATTTTATTTTTATATTAGGAAATTCTTGGCAATGAATTTTCTTTTTGTTCAAAAAGAGATTTAAATGTGACAGTATAATATTTATAATCGATTTTATAGCTAGTTTTGTAAGGATTTTTTCTTTTTGATATATAATATAAACATAATGTAAAGGGGTTTGAAAGTCAATATAATAAGATAAGAGGAAAATTCCCTTTAGGGAATAATAAAACGCAGAACAATTTATATTCTGCTATTTAAATATTAGTTTTATAAATATACATATCATATACAGGGTGAGATGTAAAAACTGCAACCAACTTCAGACTGCTGGCATTTCAAAGCCAATCGTCCGACAGCTGTTAAAATTATTTCAGTGACAGCTCATTATATTGTTTACAAGCGAACAAAAGCATTTTGGTGAGAATTTTTCAGAAAAAATTTATTCGTGATGGAATTCAAGCGTGATAGTGTGATTTCTTTATATTTGGCTGGAAAACCCAAGTGGCGGTCAGCTGAAAATGTGCACCTTCTGTTGGCCACCAGAAATCAAGCGCCGGCCGAGGCGATGGTGAGGGCCGCCATAACAGCCGATGGTCGCTCTCCGCTCGTATTAATCGACCGTGGAATCAGAATAAATGCCGAATATTATCGCGAAAATATTCTGGAGGGTGTTTTTAAGCCTTGGGTACGCAAACATTTTGGCCGCAGACCTTGGACATTCCAAGAGGACTCAGCACCATCGCACTCAGCATGCGCCACCCAAAAATGGTTTCAAAATGAGGTTCCTCGCTTCATTTCCAGCGCACAATGGCTACCAAAATTTCCGGATACCAATCCGTTAGACTATTGTGTCTGAAGAATTTTGAAAAGCAAGGTTGGCACTGAAAAATACCAAAGTGTCGATCACCTGAGGCAGGTGCTTCGCCGGGAATGGGCCAGGCCAAAATACCGCAGAGCAACATTCTGGCAGCTTGTGACGGTTTCATAGGCCGTTTGAAGGCCATAATTCGTGCCAAAGGTGAGCAATTCGAACAAATCTAAACTTATTCTGAAATCTTAGGCTATTTCCACATTTTTTGCTTTCATTCAATAAAATTTAAAAAAGCAAATTTAAAAATTATGGCTTTTGACTTTGTTGCAGTTTTTTTTTATCCCACCCTGTATTTTTCTTGCAGACGATCATCCTTGCGAATGAACACTTATTTTTTCAATATAATTTGTCTAAAAATTTTTGGCTTTTTTGTGCATACGCTATTGCATGGCAGAAGAATACAGGTAGATGCATCAACGCTTGGGAGCATTGATATGTCAAAAAAATTTAAATGTTTTTTCAAATATAAGTAGATTTTTATATGTTTTCTTATACTACGTCATTCGGAGGCTA